GCCGGCGCCGTCGGCGTCTCCGTCGACTTAGGTCGGGAATGTCCCCCGACAGGCAAATGTGGGAGGACAAATAAAATATTCACTGCGTGGACCTCCCCATATGTGCATCTATAGTTGCATGATTCTGTCCGCCGTGAGTGTCTAGGCGCAAGGGCTTTCAAATGTAAGTGGGCATGAGTTGTGACGGTCTGGCCATGAATCTAACTGCGAATGACTTGGAGCGTGAACAAGTCTCAGTCTTACGAGCGCGTCTCTGCGCATGAACCTGGGGCCTCCTGCGGCCTCCTGAAACCTCCTGGGGCTTCCTGGTACCTCCAGGGGCCTCTTGGGGCCTCTTGGGGCTTCGAGTGGCTCCTGAGGCCTCCTGGAGCCTCGCGTGGCCTCCTGGGGCATCCTGGAGCCTCCTGGGACCTCCAAGGGAGGATTCGTGCCCCAGGAGAGGCCCAATACTTCCGCAGGCCGAAAGATTCCCCCCTTGAGCCCCACATGTCGGGAGCGACGCGCCGTTCAGGTGAGAGCAACCACATGTTATGGGAAAAGTGAAGGGAGGTGTCCGGGCCCGCTGTGGCGCTCGTCGAGCTTCCGACTTGGACATTTTGCTTGTGTGCCCTCGCCTTCCCTCATCCCTTCCTCTCCTCCTCCTCCTCCTCCCACTTCCCCCCTCCTCCTCCCACCTCCTCCCTCCTCCTCCTTCCTCCTTCGTCCGTCCGCCTCCCTCCACTCTCCTTCCTCCTTCCTCATCCTCCTTCTCCGTTTCCTTCCTCCTCCCCCCGTCTCTTCCCTGTTTATTCCTCCTCTCTCCCCCCCTGCGTCCCCTCTGTCCTCCTCCCACCTCCTTTTGCCTTTTCCCTCATCCTTCCCCTCTTCATCCTGGGAAGACCCCCCTCCCCCGGAAAATCATAGCATTGGTCTGCAAATCCACAGTTCCGTGGATAGCATGATGCTTCACTTGCGGTGCTCCGCGGATCCAATTTCCCCTGGGTCCCGGATGTTAATGATTCGTATATATTTATTCCCGGGAAATAAATGGACCCACCGTTTTTTCCACACAAAGGAAATTGGATCCGCGCAACACAGAAATTGGATCCACGAAGCTCTCCCACACCCGAAAAGGGATCCAATTGGATCCGCTGATGTTGTCATATTTGTAGTCCAAGAGGAAAGCACATTGGGCCTGGGGATGTATGTAGGAGCAGACGTACTCACAAGTTGCGGATTGGAACCACAATTGAAGGGCATTCTATAGGAGCACGTGCCCCAGGGGAGTCCCGTCTATAGGAACATACGTAAAACATTCCGGATTGTATACACAGGAGAAGGACCATCTATAGAAACATATGTATAAAATCAAAGATTCGTGCTCCAGGTGAGGCCCAATCTATAGGAGCACGCGTAAATCACGTGGGATTGGAGTCACTCATGTTGCCTTCTGAAGCATCCTGCTCCTGGGGCCTCTCGGGGCCTCCTGTTGCCTTCAAGGGCCCCCTGGCGCTTCCTGTGGCCTCCTGGGGGCAGAGAGGGAGAGACAGAGACAGAGTGGATATGCATACATATAACTATATAGATAGGTGGGTGAGATGATGATGTGGTGAGGAAGCGCCTCGGATGGAGAGAACGAAAGGGAGAGAGTGTGGAAACGGGAGGGACTGATATACCACCATCAGATGACGTAGGGGAGATTGTGGCAGCGGGAAAAACTGAAACTATACAGATTAGCCTGGCGAAGGACCCAACCATACGCATTTGTGAGTATTGCGATTGTGAATATGTCCTTCGGTGGCGCTCCCTATGAGACCACGAACCCCGTGAGGGGTGTGCCGACATGGGTGTGTGGGACGCATGCGGGCGGTGGCACTGGGGCCTTGAGTGAAGCTCCCTATGGGGCCACGAAGCGTGTGAGGGGCGTGCCGACTTGGGTGTGGCTGACGCATGCGGGCGGTGGCACTGGGGCCTTCTTTGGAGCTTTTTATGGGACCACGAAACGTGTGAGAGGTGTGTCGAATTGGGTGTGGCTGACGCATGCGGGCGGTAGCACTGATGCCTTCGGTGGAGCTCCCTATGGGGTCACGAAATATGTCAGGGGTGTGCCGAAGTGGGTGTGGCTGACGCATGCGGGCAGTGGCATTGGGGCCTTCGGCGGAGGTCCCTATGGGACCACGAAGCATGTGAAACGTGTGAGGGGTGTGCCGACTTGGGTGTGGCTGACGCATGCGGGCGGTGGCACTGGGGCCTTCGGTGGAGTCCCCTTTATGGGGCCATGAAACGTGTGAGGGGTGCCGAATTGGGTGTGGCTGATGCATGCGGGCGGTGGCACTGGGGCCTTCGATGGAACTCCCTATGGGGCCACGAAGCGTGTGAGAGGTGTGCCGACTTGGGTGTGGCTGACGCATGCGGGCGGTGGCACTGATGCCTTCGGTGGAGCTTCCTATGGGGCCACGAAACGTGTGAGGGGTGTGCCGAAGTGGGTCTCACTGAAGCACTCCTCCTCTTTTTCCATCCTCATCCTTCTTCCGCTCCTCCTCCTGCTTCTCCTCCTCCTCCTCCTCCTGCACTTCATCCTCCTCCTCCTCCTCCCCCGCCGCCTCACCCTCCTCATCCTCTTCTTCCTCCTCCTCCTTCTCCTCCTCCTTCTCCTCCTCATCCACCTCCTCTTCCGACTCCCCATACTACTCCTCCCCTTCCTCCTCTTCCTCCTCCTCCGCCTCCTCCAACTCCCCCTCATGCTCATTCTCTTCCCGCTCCTCCTCCTCCTCCTCCACCACCCCCTTCTCCCCCTCCTCCCCCTCCTTGTCTTTGTTCTCGGACGCGTCCTCATCCTCGTCCTCCTCCTCCTCCTCCTCCTCCTCTTCCTTCTCCTCCTGCTCCTCTTCCTCCTCACTTTCAACCTCCTCCTCCTCCTCTTCCTCCTCCTCTTCCTTCTCCTCCTCCTCCTCCGCCTCCTCCTCGTCCGCCTTCCCCTCCTCCCCCTCCTCGTCCTCCTCCTCCATCTCCTCATTCTCCTCCTCAATCTCCTACTCCTTCTCCTCCTTCTCATCCTCCTCTTGCTCCTTTTCCTCCGCCTCCTCCTCCTCCTCCTCGACTTCAACATCGGCATCGTCATCGTCATCGTCATCATCATCATCATCATCATCATCATCATCATCATCATCATCATCATCATCATCATCATCATCTTCATCATCATCATCAGCATCATCATCAGCAGCATCATCATCAACATCAGCATCATCATCATCATCATCAACATCATCATCATCAACATCATCATCAGCAGCAGCGAAAACGGAAGCAGCAGCATCAACATCACCATCATCATCATCATCAACAGCATCATCACGATCATCAGCATCATCATCACCACCACCACCATCATCATCATCACCATCATCATCATCATCATCATCATCATCATCATCATCATCAACGTCATCATCATCACCATCATCATCAACATCAGCAGCATCATCATCAACAGCATCATGGTCAACATCACCATCAGCATCAGCATCATCGTCCGCATTATCACCATCATCCTCAACACCAGCATCACCATCACCATCAACGTCAGCATCATCATCATTACCAGAACCATCGCCACCATCACCATCATCATCATCATCAGTATCATCAACATCATCATTAGCATCAAACTCACCATCACCAGCATCACCGCCACATTCATAATCATCGTCTATAAATATCATGGTCAGCATCATCATCATCATCACCAGCCTCATCAGCAACATCATTATCATCAGCAATACCATCATCATGATCATCATCATCATCGTCATCATCATCATCACCAACATCATCACCATCATGATCATCATCATCCTTCCCCTCCCTCCCCTCCATCTCCTCCTGCTCCTTCTCCTGTTCACCCTCCTCATCCGCGTTCTCCTGCTGCTCCTCCTCCTCCTCCTCCTCCTCCGTTTCCTCCTCCTCCTCAACATCAGCCTTCTCCTCCTTCTCCTCATCCTCCTCCTTCTTCTCCTCCTCCTTCTTCTCCTCCTCCTGCTACTCCTGACCTTCCTTTTCCCGTCCTCTTCCTCTTCCCCTCCATTCCTTCTCCTGATAGATAACTCCTCACTGTCGCACCCTGAGGCGAGTTTTTAGGGCGGGCCGGGCGTTTCGCCTGAGACTTCCTCACCACTCATGACTCTGAATCTTCAAACGTGACAACAGTTTCACAGATGGAGTGCGGGTGGTGTTCAAACTGTGGCTCTCGCCTCAGCGCCGCGCACATTCGTTTCAAACATTTGCAAGAGTTTCACTGGTAGAGGGCGGGTGGTTGTTTTGATGTGGCTCTCGCCTTAGCGCCGCGCACATTCGTCTGAAATAGTTGCAATAATTTCACGGATTGAGGGCAGGTCGTTTTCAAAAGGTGGCTCTCGCCTTAGCGCCGCGCACATTCGCATTAAACAGTTGCAAGAGTTTCACGGATAGAGGTCGGGCTCTCGCCTTAGCGCCACGTACATTCATTTTATACATTTGCAAAGAGTTTCACTGGTGGAGGGAGGGGGGGTTTTCAAAATGTGGCTCTCGCCTTAGCACGGCGCACATTCGCTTCAAACATTTGCAAGGGTTTCACGGATTGAGGGCGGGTCGTTTTCAAAATGTGGCTCTCGCCTTGGCGCCGCGCGCATTCGTTTTAAGCATTTGCAAGAGTTTTACCAATTCCCATGATCAACGTACCAACAATTGTTATTTCGGAAGGATTCAGGATGCGGGTGCAACAATTACGTTGATTCGCGGTGTTGAAATTTTAAAATGGAGTTGTGGTACGATTCCGGATCGCCACAACGCAGCTGGCAGGTTGATACGTGGCACTGAAATCCCAAGATCCATGTTTTGGCATGCTTCAGGATCTTCCAACGGTTATCCTCCAATGTGGCGCTCCCTCAACGGAAATAAACCGTTGTAGGGGCCTGCGAAGAGGGAGCTTGGTGGGAGGGATATTTCCAACATCGTTGATGGCTCTTGGGCTTACATTGGTCATCCACCTCCTCGTCCTCCTCCTCTTCCTCCTCCTCCTCCTCGTCGTCCTCTCTCGTCTCCGTCCTCGTCCTCGTCCTCGTCCCCGTCCTCGTCAACGTCCTGCTCCTCCTCCTCCTACTCTTCCTCCTCCTCCTCCTCCTCCTCATTCCCCTCCTCCTCATCCTCTGCCTCATCCTCCTCCTCATCCTCTGCCAGTTTCTCCTCCTCCTCCTCCTCGTCCTCCTCCCCCCCTTCTCCTCCTCTTCCCCCCCTTCCTCCTCCTCCTCCTCCTCTCCTCCTCCTCCTCCTCTCCTCCTCCTCCTCCTCCTCCGCCTCCCAGTCCGCTTCCTCATCTTCTCCTCCTCCTCCTCCTCTGCCCCCTCCTCCTCCAGCTCCTCCTCCTCGTCGTCGTCTTGCTGCGCCTCCTCCTCCCCCTCCCCTTCCTCCTCCTTTTCGTCGTCCCTCCGCCTTCTTCTCCTCGTCCTCCTTCTCCTGCTCCTCTTCCTCTCCTCCTCCTTCTCCTCCTCCTCCTCCTCCCTGTTCCTCCTCTAGCTCCTTCTCTTCCCCCTCCTCTTCCTCCTCCTCCTCCCCTCGTCGTCCTCCTCTCCTCCTACTCCTCCTCCTCCCCCTCGTCCGTTTCGTCCTCCATCCTCCTCCTCCTCGTCCTCCTCCTCCTCCTCCTCCTCCTCTTCCTTCCCCTCTTCTCATCAATCCTCCTCTTCTTCCTCCTCCTCCTCGTCCTCCGCATTATCACCAGCATCATCATCATCATCATCATCATCACCAGCATCATCATCACCATCAACAGCATCGCCATCATCATCATCATCAGCATCAGCATCAGCATCATCATCATCATCATCATCATCATCATCATCATCATCAGCATCATCATCATCATCATCAGCATCATCAGCATCAGCATCAGCACCATCATCATCAGCATCATCATCATTAATATTAGCAGCACCAACATCATCAACATCATCAGCATCATCAGCAGCACCGACATCATCATCATCAGCATCATCATCATCATCATCATCAGCATCATCATCAGCATCAGCATCGTCAGCATCACCATCATCATCATCAGCGTCATCACCATCATCATACCCCCCATCCCCATCACCATCAGAATAATCATCATCACCATCATCATCAGCAGCATCGTCATCACCAGCATCATCATCATCAGCATCATCATCAACATCTTCATCAGCATCATCGTCAACCTCAGTTTGATCAGCATGATTATCATCATCGCCATCATCAGCCTCACCATCACCACCACCATCAACACCATCAGCTGAATCACCATCATCATCAGCATCATCATCTGCACCGTCGTCATCACCATTATCATGTTCATCGTCACCATCATCACTACTATCTTCACCACCATCACCGTCATCGTCATCAACTTCGTCATCGTCACTGGCATCATCATCGTTATAATCATCATCATCATCATCATCATCATTATCATCATCATCATCATCACAATCATCAACAGCAGTCATCATCCAGATCGCCCCCTCCCCCTCCTGCCCCTCTTCGTCTTCGTCGTCGTCGTCGTCCTCGTTTTCTTCCGCCTCCTCCTCCTCCTCCTCCTCCTCCCCCTCCTCCTCCTCCTCCTCCTCCTGCTCCTCCTCCTCCTACTCCTCCTCTTCCTCCGCCTCCTCCTCTTCCTCCTCCTCGTTCCCCTCCTCCTCTGCCTCCTCCTCCTCCTGCTCTTCTTCCGCATCCTGTTCAGTTTGTTCCTCCTCTCCTCCTTCTCCTCCTCCTCCTCCTCGTCCTCCTCGTTCTCCTCCTCCTCCTCCTCCTCCTCGTCCTCCTGCTTCCGCTCTTCCTCCTCCTCCTCCTTTTCCTTTTCCTCCTACTCCTCCTCCTCTTCCTCCTCCCCCTCCTCCTCCACATCCTCCTCCTCCTCCTCTTCCTCCTCTTCCTCCTGCTCCTCCTCCTCCGCCGATCCAGCGACGGGCGACATCGGCGGCGACAGCGGCGGCGTCGACGGCGGACGACGACCCCGACGAGGACGGTCTGGCGGCCGCGGCTGCAGCGACGTCGGCTGCGTTCGCGAAGCTCCGAAAGGAACGCGGGGGGCGCCCGCGCTGGCAAAGGCGGCGCCGATACGCCTGCAAACGAGGAGGAAGATGAGGGCAAGGACGACGAGGAACGCGAGGCGTGCGGGGAGGCCGAGAAGAACGAGGAGGGCGAGGAGGGCCAGGAAGACGAGGACGGCGAGCGTTTTGTTTCACCAGCGCTGCACGTCCCACAGTTAAGCGTGCGAGCGGTTGAATGGATCCACTTGTACGTGGGCCATATTCGGGTGTTCAGCAGTTTTGTAGTTTGGCTCCAAGACGCGACGGCACAATTTGAAGCAGATCTGTTTTTCCGAAAAAGCAGCATCAAACGAAAAATATGTACCACGATTGCGAAACTGGCCTCCAGCTGTATACTCCTTCTAATGGCACAGGCGTGTAGCAAATTACCGTCGGGGCTGGAACGGACCTCAAGCGGTTGCTTACGCTGCACAAATCTCGAAGGCGGAGACGGGCAGCTCGCCAGAACAATTGTAGATCGGAATCTGCAAGCAACGCCGGCTTTTCTGACAGCGCTGGAGCGATCGGCACCAGACCCATTCGTCGAATTCGAAACGGTCTGACAAGGAGGAGGGGGAACCCGAGGAGCACTATCCAGGTCCATCCTCGACCACAAAAGCCACAGAGGCATGAGACGGGCGGCCAGAGCAAGCGCTCTCCGGGCGATGGCAATGCTGTCGCGTATGTCCTGAAATTCTGCATGTGCGGCACTGGGGTGGCATTAAACACGCCTCGCTTGGCTGTAGCATCCGTCTGGTCGTTACCTCTCTCTCTCTCTCTCTCTCTTTCTGTCTCTCTTATGTTTTCTCTCTCTCTCTCTCTCTATATATACGCATATAGAACATACAACAAAAGAGAAACAGGCGCGCTAACACCCGCAGTGCCGTTGTCAACAACATGAGCCTAGACTTTTCCGCGTTAGAATATAATGTACTGGACACGTTTTAAAAGAGCTCTCGCATCCAAGTTTCTCATCGAGGCCTACAGGAACGTTTGGGAGCGCAGAAAAACCAGCCGAGGGCCCACAAAGGATCCTGGGGGGGGGGGGGGGGGGGGCGAACAACAACATTCACCAGTTTGTGACGTCTTGGGGGAGAAAACTTGGCCCAGGCCTGGTTATAAACCACCGCCCTCCAGCCAGCGCGAGCCATTTCCACCGCTGGGCTCTTGGGCCAAGAGCCAGAAAGGATGAGCAATCCCTCGATGCTCATTGACGCGTTGGATGGGTCGTCTATCCACAGCACAGCCATACCTCCTCCAGAACTCCGCCCTGGCGAAGACTCGCTTGGGTGTGGAAAAAAAAGCCTTTAGTGAACACATTCCAATCCTTGTTGTCCGACGTGCAGGCTGAGGCACGGGCAGTCAGCCGGTCATCTACCACCTGTGATCCCTACATACTGACGGCCTTGCAGCGCCAGAGACGATGCAGCGTCGCACTTTCTGCGGCACCGCAGAGATGGCGGAGGGCGCCCTCGAGCATGCGGCCCGAGTCGACAGCCTTCGCGCCATAATCCAGCACGCCCCGCATACTAGACGACGAATGAATCCTTTCTCGAAGAAAGACAACTTTTTCTTCGTGAGCATCTGGCGAACAGCGTCGCCAGAGGCCCGGCCCGAGCCCGCGCCCAAGGGGATCCTGCGGGACGCGTGGGTCAGCCCCTGAGAGACATACATTCTGATCGGTGACACCGGTGGCTAAATCGAACATCTCCCACCCGACCCTGTCCAGAGAAGCCCTAGCGGCCAGTCCAGGCACCTTCTTCCAGGGCATCGGTGGCCCCGTGAAAGGAACATCCCAAGACTCCCTCGGGGCAGACAGCGTGCCGAACGCTCAAATTGTCGGGCACCGGCACCTCAGACCTCTTTCGCATATCTCACGATCGGCGCCGTGGCCGCGTTGCGGGGCGGGGCGCGTTCCAGAATGGTGAGCGAAGCCAAGCTCTTCGAGCCCGCTGACGGTCTGACGCGCCGAAGGAATGGCGGAGCAGCTTGAGCTGCGCGCCTCGGCTCGAAGGCAGCGCCTGGCAGTGGGCCTGCAACTGAGATCTTACGAGGCGATTTCCCAGAGCGGCCTGGGATTTCCTGAGTCTCTTCGCCCAGGCGGCTAGAGCGCGCACTCTGCACCTCCGATCGCTACCCCCCCTCGCCCTGCGCCTCGCTTTCCCGACAGCGTCGCCCGTGCCAAGATTCGTAGCCGATGCGTTTAGCGGAGAAGCCAGCGCACTCCCCCCCAAACTGCGCAAGCTTGTGTCCTGATGGCGCCGGGGACGCAACGACTGAAGCTGCCCCATCAGCCGCTCTGCAGTTCATGTATTTATTGGCCGCGGTCACGAGCATGTTGGCGGTGTCTTTATCAATATCGACGCTCGCGAGTTTTTCCGCGCTCGTTCAACTCACCGAGTGCTCATCGATGTAGCTATACATATATATATATATGTTTATATATATGTATATGTGTGTGCACGTGCCCGATAATGCAGCAGTAAGAACCAGCGGCGGGTCTATCACGGGACTAGGTAGATTCGCACGTGCGTCGCGGCCGTCGACCATTCAGCGAGGACTCCATTCATCGAAAGGTAGGGGCCCGCCGAAAGATGAGAAAACGTTCGGAACCTCGCGCCGCGGTGCGCCGCCACGCAGACCCTAATAACCTGCCTTGGGGAATCTAAGACGGCCCGGGACTCGACCGACGTCAGGTGCACCCCCTCGCGGCACTTCCGCAAGTACTACGGCGCGGGCGCCGCAGCCCTGCTAATTCCGACCCCTCGCCCACAACGAAGGGCCTGCTGCCGCGCCGCATCAGAAGCCCCATTAGAAACAACTGCAGCGAGGTACCTGTGAGAGTTGGCCAGTTCCAAATCCCCAGGAGGTCGCGGGCCTCCTTCGGGCCCTGCCCCACAGACGGCAAACCAAACTGAGCGGGCCAATCGGTCCGCAGCCCCCCCGGGGCTCGGCCAGGAAAGCCAGCAGGCGAACCTGCGCGTGACATGGCAGGGCCGTAGCCTCGATCAGCTGCATCACAATACTGAACGCCCCTCGCCAATCGTCCGACATGCTGGCGCAGTGGCGCACGCAAGAACCGCCCAAACAGATGGCTGTGGCAGCAGAGTAGACGCGAATCACTTCTCGAATGTCCGACGGCGCAAGGATTGCGAGTGGCTCGAGGCCCCTCGCGTGCGAGTCGAAGGCATCTGGCTCCTTCTCTGCTTGCCGCGGCCCAGCAGACCTGGCGGCTTGTCCAGGCGAGGCGAGCGGGTCGGACGCGACGCGCCCGTTCTGGGAGAGGGCTGTGGTCGGCGACCACGGCTTGCACTCCTGAGTCCACGCGTGCGCCCCCTTTCCTCATGTCGCCATCCCGTCAACCCACTGGGCCCGCCACTCCGTGCCACTGCGGTCTCCCGCGCCAGCAGAAAACGCGCTCTTCTCGGAACTCTCAGCCGACGTCCTGGCCTCGAGAGGAGGCTTCGACTCCGCCGGTGATGTCTGCGCCCAGGCGGAGGACATGGCCCTGGCAAACAAGGAGATGGTCAGCCACCGTGGCTGGGAGATCCAGGAGGACACTGCCGTGGGTCTCTAGGCTTTTTAACAAGATAGAGGCCCCCAGAAAACGCCCAGCAGTCTGTGACATGCCAACGGAAAGCGGAACGGTCAGGATAGTCAGGATCCTCGATGTTGCCGCGCGTGGAGTCGACGTCCGCCACAGCGACCCACATCATCCTGGGTAAGGGGCCTCTGGATTCACGCTTAGAAGCGAGATGAGCCTCGACTCCGCCACCTCGTGCTCGGCAAGGTCCGCCATTTCCTTGCGGGGCCTGCCAAGGTGCTGCTGAATCTGCATGTGCTTGGGATTGTCGAGAATAACTTCAGACTTTCACGCGAGAGCGACGCTGTCTTATCCGTGGACCTGGTTCAGCGGGTGGACCTATGGGCTGCTCTATCGGGATCCTGGGGGGACTCGTGGACTGCGGGCCTGGAGATCAGCGAGGTTCTCATGGGGCGTCAGCACGAATTGTGGATGAGTCTTGACGCCCAGATCCGATCGGACCTCGGCGCGCAGGGCGCGCCTGCGGAGATCCCGCGATGACCAAACGGAATCGATGATGCGGCTTCCGCGGCCACCATGGCAAGCGAACAGTACGGCGACGTGCTGCTGGCCGCCCCGAACACGAAAAAGCGGCTGCTCCGGGGCGTGAATGGGGGCATGTCGAAATCTGCGCGCACGAGCCAACCATCTCGTAACCCATGCGCGCAGCTGTCAATACATAGAAGGTAAGATGGTGCGAGTTCGCTGAGACAGCTCCTCGCCGCCCCCAATGCAGGCGAAGACCATCGACGCGAGAGGCCCCGCAGCGCGTCGACAATGCCAGCCGCTGCGCGTCGTGGACAAGAACGCGGCCCCAAGTCGGGTGGGGCAAAAAACTCAGATCGCATATGGCCCAGAAGGCCAATGCCCCACTGACCCCTCATCTCGAGGCCGTCTCATAAACTTGCTCGCCCACCCCCGGGCGAAACGCCGCGCAGACGCCTCGTCGCAACCGCAACCCGAGACCGGCCGATGCCCCTGGATCAAGATCACCTGATCAGTAGATCCCTCGACCCAGTACTTCATCGCAGACCAGGTCGCGCAGTTAGCTGTTTCCGCGACAAGCTGGCGGCGCGATGATCGGCCGGCTGGGAATTGGGGGGGCTGCGAAGTTAGCGGGGTCGGCTCCCTCTGGGAACTTGCAGGGGTGTTTCCTCGCCCCCTTAGCACGTGAGCTGGGGCGAACGGCCTGCTGCAAACGATAGGCAAAACAAGATGCGCTCCGCCGGCGAAACATCATGCGCCCCACCTCCTTCGTCGCCCAGGCTCGCGCCCATTAGTGCCCCGAAAACGACCTGCATCATGGGGCTTCTGTTTCCGCGCGAATACAAGGCGCACGGGCGGGGGCTGTCTCGCAGAGGCCCCCCAGGGCCCGCGCGCTTTCCCAGGGGGGCCAGGGGCGACGCCGGCCCGATGGAGGCCCAGGGGATAAAAAACTGGCTTCGTGCTCGGACCTTGGACGCAAAGACCGGCTAGCACATGGGGCGACTGATGCGCGGCCGGGCCATGCTGCTGCCGCCGCCCCCCCGGCTCAGAGGGGGGCGGAGTGGCAGGCCTCTCTCTGTCTTGGCCTGCGCATCGTCGGCGGGGGCCCTTGGCTCCACCAACAGAGTCAGAACACGCTGCCTCGGCGGCCGACGGCTGTCCGTCGGCCGCAGCGGGCGCAGCTGCGCGCTGGCCCTCAGAGCCGGCATCTCCTTCAACTGGCACTGGTACTTCAGCAGCTTGGGCCCCGCCAGCGGTAGCTCCGTCGGCTGCTCGTCGCTTCTTGGCCGCCATCCGCTCCGGATGAGCTTCTCGCGGTCCCTGTGCAGCTGGAACTAGCGGCCCGAACAGGTCCTTCGCCAGTTTGGATACACCTGAGTTGAGGGTCTCCGTTCTCTTCGTGATCTCGTCGCGACCCTCTTGCGTCAGATCGTCATCGACCTCGAACAAGGACGCCCCGTCGATTCCAAAGGCGCGCCGAGGTCGAACATCTCATCGCATTTATCGCCGAGCTTGAACTTGGGTGCAGAGATGGCTGCAGCCGTCTACAACTCCGTGGCCAGCGCGTTGCACTGCTTGTCCGCGGCGCCGGGCTCGTCGCGCATGGTCGGAAGAACGCCCTTCTGCGTGAGGACATCCTGCCGCCAAGAGAGCATGTCGTCAACCTCCTAGTCCTTGTCCAACTGCATCTCCAGCCTGAAGGCCACCGCGAACGCCTGCTGCACCTTCTGATGGAGGGGCATCGGGGCTTGGGGGCTCTCGCTGGTGCAAGCGCTCGAACTCCGACTCGTACGTACTTGGCAGCTGCGGCCAGGACTCCTCCCTTCCTTGGCAAGTCAGCCGGCTGCTCGTTCTTCTCCACAGTGAGCTGGCTCTTTGCTGTCACTTGCAAAGGGACAAGAGCCGAGAGGGAAACACCACCAGTCTGCCCGGCACTTCCACGAGCCGCCGCTGACTGTCAGACCGGGCTGCTGCAATGACCACGTAGGCGGCAAAAGGCACCTGGAGGGGGGCTGCGACCACTCACCACTGGGAGGATGCCCGCCATCAGCAGGAGAGGCAGCAGACAAAGGTGACCGTCGCCACAACGGTGCCAGGGGTAGCTGAAGTCTCGTTACGAACTTTGCCTTTTTGCCACGCCTTCCTTTACTTCCGCCATGGGTGGAAATAAACATGGGCGTCGTACACCACAAGCTCTGAACACACGCCGAGCGGGTGGCCCGTTGACGCAGCGCCGCTCTGAAATTGGCGTCAACAAGAACACGAACTCGTGCCAGAACGGCTCCTGAGTCAAAGTGGCTACGGAGGGAGAAGAGGACGAGGAAGACCATGAGGGAAAGGGCCCCCTCGTGGCGTTCCTCCCTCTCGTCCTCCTCCTCCTCCTCTTCCTCCTCCTCCTCCTCCTCTTCCTCCTCCTCCTCCTCCTGCTCGCGCTCCTACTGCTCCTCCTCCTCCTCCTTCTCCTCCTCCCCCTCTTCCTCCTCCTCCTCCTCCTCCTCCTCATCATCATCATTCGTATCATCATCATCATCATCATCATCATCATCATCATCATCAGCATCATCAGCATCATCATCATCATCATCATCATCATCATCATCATCAGCATCATCAGCATCATCATCATCATCATCATCATCATCAGCATCATCATCATCATCCCCCATCCCGGCTCCCTCCTATGCCTTCCTTTTCCCCCTCCTTCATCATCCCCTTTTCTCTTCTGCGGTGGGAGGGTAAGAGCAGGGCATGGCAGAGAGATGGAAGAAGAAGGAATGGGAGGAGGGAGGAGGAGGAAGAGGAGAAGGATGAGGGAACAGGAGGAGAAGGAGAAGGAGGGGAAGAGGAGGAGGAGGAAAAGGGGGAGGAGGAGGAGGAGGAGGAGGAGGAGGAGGAGGAGGAGGAGAAGGAGGAGGAGGAGGACAACAGCGGGCAGGACGACGGGGGTAGGACGAGGAAGGGGAGGATGAGATGAAGGACGGAGAGGACTTTGAGTGAACGGATAGAACATGCAAGTAGGAAAAAGGAAGGACGACACAACTGGGGAAACCTAAAGGTACTGACACTGCTGCTCCCCAGACCTCTCCCCAGGGCACGTTCTGACAAGGATTTCGAGGCGAGGCCAGCGGTGGTGACGAAGGCCTCCAAGGAGGCCCAAAACGGCGACAAGACATGGAAGGGTAGCGGCATGGGTACTGCCTCCCCTGAAGGACGGGCACAAATCTGACGAGGCGGCGGGGAAGATGGGGCGGAAGGGGGAGGGGGGAGGAGTAAACGGAACCCAGCGCCAGACAGGCCAGAAATTGCAGGAGTGCCTCCAAGTATCCTCCTCCTCCATCTGGTGCGCTTCCACCAGCACTTCCTGCCCCTCCTCCTCCTCCTCCTCCTCCTTCCTCCTCGTCCTCCTCCTCCTCCTCGTCCTCCTCCTCCTCGTCCTCTTCCTCCTCCGCTTCCTAGTCCTGTTCCTAAGCACGTGCCGACTCCCGAACAACTGCACCCTGTCACCATGATCCACCTCCTCCTCAACTGGAGCATCTCCTCCTCCTCCTCCTCCTCCTCCTCCTCCTCCTCCTCCTCCTTCTCCTCCTCCTCCTCCTCCTCCTCCTCCTCCTCCCCTTCCTCGCCAGTCCCTTCCGACTCTCCGCCCCTCCTCTCCCCAAGAGCGCAAGCTCGACAGGCTCGAGCTCGGAACTCGAGAGCTCCAAACTCGGGCGTGCACTCTGGCGGCAGGGCTCGGGCGTACATTCCGGCGGCCGGAGTCAAGAATCGGACGAGCTCGAAGCTCGGGCTTTGGGCTCCACCTCGTGGTCGTGGACCAGTCCATGTGCCCTCCACCCCATATTCTATTGTCTCGTCTCTTCGCCTATCATCTCTTCTCGTCTCTTCTCTTCTCTTCTCTACTCTTCTCTTCTCTTCTCTTCTCTTCTCTTCTCCTCCTCCTGCACCGCCTCCCTCCCTCATCCGCCTCATCCTTCTCCTCTGCCTCCATATTCTCCTCATCCTACCCCCCTCCTCCCCGTCCTCTTCCCCCGATCATACACTCCTCCCCCTTGCCTGGCCCCTCCTCATCTTCCACTCGCTCCGCGTCCTCGCTTTGCTCCTCCTCCTCCTCCTCCTCCTTCTCCTCCTCTTCCTCCTCCTTCTCTTCCTCCTCTTCTTCCTCCTCCTTGAAGCATGCAGTGCGCATATCCAGTGCGTGTCGCCTGTCGTGGCGCCAGCAGCGCAGGGCAGCAACTGCTGGGAGCGCCACTGTTTGTCTGTCCCTCCGAGGTGGCGTCGTCGCTGCGGTGGCCCGCGAGGACCTTCGGACGTGGAGGGATGGGGATGGAAGGGGAACATAATGCAATAAACATAAACTTCTGGCGCTCCGCGAGGATCTCTTGGACCTGCGCTGCACCCCCCCTCCCTGGCGCGCGGAGCGCGCCCGGGGCTGCGCCGGGGGCGCCGCCACGGGCGCCGCCAGGGGGCCCCAGCGCGCATCCAGGAAATCCGCGCGGAGCGCCAAATGCTGATGTTTGTGGCATTGATCTTTTTTCTATGGGGATGTGGGCGGCGGGGAGCTGGCAGGAAAGACTGTGGACGAACAGACAACGAACGACAGAGACAACACACGACGAGGAGACAACGAACGAGAGGCCCGCAGAGACCAATCTTTTCCTACATTTTCTAGGTTTTTGTCTTCCCCCCCACTTCCCATATTTTCCCATCTTTTCTGGGGAATCGACGATGAATTGTGTCTGTGTGCTTTTTCCCTCCTCAGAGAGGCCCGCAGAGACAACGAACAGACAACGAACGACGAGGAGGCAAAAAAGCCCCAGGAGACACGCAGAGGCAACGGACGACGAGCCCGAACCACGCCGCGCCGGGCGCCGCCGCCCTCGGTGCGGCCTGGCCGGCCACGCCGGCAAGGCGCCTGCCTCCACGGGGCGGCAGGGGGGATGCCACCCGGAGCTCAGTGTTAAGTCGGGCCTGTCCCCCTACAGGGGGATTTTCGACGAGAAATAAAAATACACCAAAAATAAAAACCAAAAATAGTCAAAACAAATATGGGGACTATTGTTTGTGTTTTTGCTTTTGTTATGTTTTATCTTTTGGGGGTATTTTGGGGGTACTTTTTATTTTTGGTCGAAAATCCCCCTGTCGGGGGACATGCCCGACATAAAGCTTAGTGGGCCCCGGAAGCGGCAGGGCCGTTTTTTCACCGTTTCCGGAAAAATGTCCCTTGAAAGTGGCAACAGCAAAAAACGGCGACCAGAAACGGCAACCAAAACGGCTCCAGGATTGGAAGCGGAGCGGTAAACCGTACCAAAAACGGCGACGGAACCGGTAAAACAACGGCGTCGGAACAGGCAACAAAAACGGCAAAACGGAACCGGCAACAAAAACGGCCCTGTCGTTTCCAGGGCCCACTAAGGTCCGTGCAACACTCAACGATGGAAGACCACCCCGAACTGACCGCCGAAGCCCCCAACTCGACACGTCCCCGCGTGAAGGGGCCGGAGGGATGGGGGGGGAAGATCTGGGGGGGCTTGGAAGGAACGTTCCCGTGTTAGGTCGGGCATGCCCTCCTCCAGGCGGATTTGGGACGAAAGATAAAAGACAGTGCCAGCATCTCGTAAATAAAAGAACATATGGGAAACTCGTCCCCCTACGATTATTGTTTCCCTATGTTTGAACATTCCTCCTGTAGAGGGGCATGCCCGACGTAATGCTAGCGCTTGGCAAACCCACGGGGGAAGGAGACGCCTCCCAAAGAGGAGGGACCGGCGAGGGGGAACCGGCGGAGGAGGAGAAGGGAGGAGGGCGGAGGAGCAAAATAGTAGTAACGCTGGTAATCGGGGATGGACAGACCCCCCTTTAGCAAAACGTGGTTTAGTGAAAACGACCTGAGGCCCAAACCTGGCGGGCGCAAGCCTGGAAAATAACGACCACGGCGCCCTCTCGAGAACCGAAAACAGACAATGCACTAATCGACGTGTCACTGTTGGGGTCTCTGTCCACCCCCGAGGTAAGAAGGATGATGAGGAGGGTGGGAGGCGCTTCGCCGAACCGCCTGGACGCCTTCGGACTTGGAGGGGGGAAGAGAATTGGGCAAAAACCCTCGGCGACTCGGGGAACTTAGCTTTGACATCTCCTATCGGTTGTCGACGTCTGAAAGCTACTGCAAAGCCTCAAATGCAGGAAAATCAGCTCGGGATGCACAGGCGGGTTCGGGGATGGGCTTGAGAGCTCCGCTGGCCACTGTCACGAAAAACAATGATGTCGGAGCCTGACGATAAAAAGAAGAGCAAGCGGATTGGGATTCTGATGTGTTCATCCCTTTTGGGCCCCACTCGAAATCGTCACGACTGCACCCCGCTCGAAATCGTGGTCAACACTCGCTCCAGGAGAGGTCCGGGGGCCGATGGCTGAGGGAGGGCATAGATGCGTTTCGCGCACTATCGAGAAAACGATCTCGGGGGACTCGAGTTTTTAACAAATCTTGAGGTCTCTTGGAGGGATGAGGGTTGAACCCCCCGGCGAAAGGGGGCGGCGTGAAGCCCTTCCATGGGGGGGCCCAGACCCCCCCACATCTCCCCTCACGACGACGACGACGGACAGCGGACGATGAACGACGAAGGACGGACAACAACGATGACGAACGGCAAACGACGAACGACGCCGACGACGACGACGACACCGAACGACGAACGACGAACGACGATGACGACGACGGACAAGGACGACGAAGACGACGGTGAGCGAAGGCGACGACGGAGGACGGACGACACGACGACGCTGACGACGACGACGGGAACGCCAGACGACGAAACGCCGACAAGGCTTACGACAATGCAGACAGCGAGTACGACGATGGCGAAAGAAGGCTACAGTTGAGGACGACGAGGACGACGAGGACGACGTAGACGACGACAACTACGACGACGCCAGGGACGACCGACGACGAAAACTACAACGACGACGCGGGCGGGCGCGTCGTCGGGCGGGCGGACCCTGACGGGTCGGTCTGGCCGGGCGGGCAATGCCTGACGGCAAGGTCGGGTCGAGCGTGTGGGACATGGAGAAGTATGATGCATAGACGAACCCGCGCGTGAGACCTCTCACGGGCGGGTCGGGTCGGGCGGGCGGATCTGAATGGGCGGTCGAGATGTTAATCGGGTGTTGGCAGAACTGGGTTCAATGGGACCTGTTTTAGTGATGTATACTGGGGGACGCCCCCCCCACCCCGTTCCACTAACCGGAACTGCCGCCACCCGAAAACACCAGCTACGGCAGACCTGGTTTGGTGACTCTGGCCAATTTGAAGGGCTCCAGGGCCCTACTACTAACCGGGTCCCCTGACCCGGGGTCCTGGCTATACCCGAAGTAACTGGTGTCGCGTCATCAAAGGCTATACCCGAAGTAAATGGTGTCGCGTCATAAAAAACAAAAAAACACTTGAGAACTCAAACGGGAACGTCGGGGCGCGGGGGCAGGCCCCGACGGACCGGGCGGGTCGGGCGGGCCCAGACGGGCGGGTCGGGCCGGGCGGGCGGGACAGGAGAGTATGGCGCATGATCGAATTGGCGCGCGACAGCCCTGACGGGCGGGTCGGCTCGGGCGGCTGGTCGGGCGGGCGGGGCATCTCAGTAGAATGCATCATGCGCTTTGCACGCGATGTGCCGTCTTGGTTTCCCGCCGTGGCTTCCCGCACTCGTCGTCGTCCGCGTCGTCGTCGTCATCGTCGTCGTCGTCTCAGTCGTCCGTCGCCCGTCGTCGGTCGCACGCCGTGGTCGTCGTCGTCAACAACATCGGCGTCGTCGTCGCCGTCGTCACCGTTGTCGTCGCCGTCGTCGTCGTCGTCACCACTGTTGCCGTCGCCATCGCCGCCGACGCCGCAGCCGCAGACGTCGTCGCCGCCGCCGTCAACGTCGTCGTCGTCGTCCTCCTCATCCTCCTCGTAGGTCGTCGTCATCGTCGTCGTCTTTCGTCGCTGGTCCTTCATAACCGTCGTCGTCACATTCGTGGCCCGTCCTCCATCGTCCGTCGTCGTCGTTGTCGCCTTCGTCGCTGGCCGTCCATCGTCGTCGCCTCTCGTCGTTCGCAGCTCGGCGCCGTCACGTTGTCGTAGAAAGGCGTTGGTCGTCTGTCAGGGTCATCCGTAGTCCTCGTCGTCATCGCCGTCGTCGTCGTCATTCGTCGTCGTCGTCGCTGTTGTACTCCGTCGTCCGTCGGTCGTCGTCCGTCGTCGTCGCCGTCGTCGTCGGCATCGTCGTCGTGGTGGTCGTCGTCGTCGTCGTCGTCTTCGCACGGCGCCCGTCGTCCGCGTCGATCTCGCCTTTCGTCGTCGTCGTGAGTCGTCCGTCGTTCGTCGTCGTCGTCGTCGGTCGTGATGGTGGTCACCGTCGCAGATCTCAGTTCGTCGCTAGTCGGTCATCGCCGTCGTGCCCGTCGTCCGTCATCGCCATCCTTCGTCGTCGTTGTTCGGCCGTCGTCGTCGCCGTTGCCGACGGTCGCCCTTCGTCCGTCGTCTGTCCTCTGTCGTGCCAGCTGCCGCTCCACAGGGTGCAGCTGCAGGCTCGGGAGCGCGAGGGGGCAGGCGAAGGCGGAGCGCGATCACGCCCGCAAGTCAACCCGTATCACACGGACGCACGACGAGGCTGCGGAGGCTTTGGAGGGCCGGTGTCGACACTCTGCGAGCGGGGCGCGGCCAGCGCGAGCGGCCAAGGATGGGCCGAAGGGCAAGGATGCGAGGGTACCCTTGGGGGTGTTGCCCTTTCTTACTATGCTTGTGGATGCCATGACTGGACACTCTAACCGTTCTAGCATTGCATGAGACAAGTATGTCAAATGTCGCCTACATGTGTTAAGCATGCTCGGAACATGTTTCAAACATGTGTTGGCACTTTAGAAACATAGCTTCACCATGTTCTAGACAGCTGGAAATATTTAGGCAATGGGCTTCCTCTCCATTGATCGTATCCCGCAATTCTATGCGGGTTGACTGTACCCTTAAGTCGGGCATGTCCTCCTACAGGCGGATCCTGGACGGAAAAATAGAAACTAGTCAAAAACTTGTCAGAATTTGTCAGACAGTAGTCCCAAGACTATGTTTTGACTACTTTGGAACATTCCTCCTGTAGAGGGACAGGCCCATACCAAGGCCGAACAAAACGAAGCTCTCCGGCGCAAGCCGCCGCCAGGGCAGCCCCGCGCCGGTTGCTCTGGGCGCGCTGGCCGCGCCTGGCGGGGCGGGGCGAGCGGGGGGGGGAGGGAAGAGGAGGAGAAAGAAGAGGAGGAGGAGGAGGAGGAGGAGAAGGGGGAGGAGCGCGGAAGAAGCACGGCGCTGCGCCTCGCCCTCCGTCCCGAAGGTGGTGGAGTGAGCGACCGCCTGCCGGACCACCCCAACCCGGAGACCCGAAGACCCGACTGTCGGGTTGGGGGGGTATGGGCTTATCGGGCCGGGCGCAAGGGGGGGATCGCAAAGAGGGGGGGGTGAGAATCAGCTCACGTAGCTGAGTTTTCCCGGCGCCTCCCAGCGCCGGAGGCGGCTATGTGTCGAGGAACGGGCCCCTCGGTGGGGCCGAAACCAGCTGCATGCAGCAAATTTCGTACCCCCCCCCCCTTTCCCAATCCCCACCTTTCGCCCGGCCCGAGCTTCACATACGTAAGTGTTTTTCCAGTGTTCCCCGACCCTCCCTCACTGGAAATGGGTTTCGGGTTGGGTTGGCCTTCGGGTTGGGTTGGGGTGGTTTGGTGGGCGGTGAGTAAGGAGTGTGGAGGAGGAGGAGCTGCTCTGCTCTCAGCTTCCTCTCCTTCCCATTTCCTGCCCCCCGCCTTCTCCGCTCCAAGCCTCGGGCAGGGCCAGGGGTGCGAGCGCGCCTTCAGCGCTTGGGTCGGGTGGCTCACACCCTACGGCCGCAGCACTCCCGTCTCATCCGGCCTCTGGTTTCCTCTGGCTCTCCCCTCCTTCCTCTCTCTCATATCGTATGTTTTGCTTGGGGGGGGTTATCGCTGGTGCTCAGGTGGACTGTCCCCCTCCACCCGGGTACTGAGACAACTCTCCTCGATGGGCTTGTGGACCTTCGGCCGGCACGCCTCAGCCAGGTGGATGGACATTTGGCCGAAAGTTGGACAGGTACTTGGGTCGTGGATTCAGCAGGATGAGGATGAGCAGGATCAGGATGATGATGCGCGGGAGGAGGAGGAGGAGGTGGAGGAGGAGGAGGAGGTGGCGGAAGAGGAGGAGGAGGAGGAGCAGGATGAGGAGGAGAAGGAGGTGGATGGGGGAGAGCGAGGAGGGCGTGCAAGGATTCCAGCCAGGCGGATCTCGGGCCCAGGATCAGCGCGTCTGCCGTCCTGGCCAGGCCACGCGTGCGGCTACCCTGGTCCCGGGCCCGGCCTGGCCAGAATCGGTGCAGGAGGAGGAGGAGGAGGCGGAAGAGGAGGAGGAGGAGGAGCAGGAGGAGGAGGAGGAGCAGGAGGAGGAGGAGGAGGAGGAGGAGCAGGAGGAGGAGCAGGAAGAGCAGGAGGTGGAGAAGGAGAGCGAGGAGGGCGTGCAAGGATTCCGGCCAGGCGGATCTCGGGCCCAGGATCAGCGCGCATGCCGTCCTGGCCAGGCCACGGGTGCCGCTGCCCTGGTACCCGGCCCAGAGGTGGGCCTGGACAGGGTGCGTGTAGTCGACGCCCTCCGACCAGGATCAGGTCGGGCCTGTCCCCTTACGGGCTGAGTTTAGACGAAAACAAGTAGAACATATACAAAGCATGCTCCCAAATAGTCAATCACAGTAGACAAATCGTGCCCAAACGATCTTTTTTCCTACCTAGGCTCTGCCTAGAAGGGTTCTTACTCGGTATGCTTAAAGGGCCGGGCAGTGTGAACCGCCCCGGGCGGTTCCCCCGGCATCCGCTCCGCGGTTCCCCCCAGTGACGTTCCCTTAGCTTAGCGTTGCTTATCTCGTCCTAGCTTAGCTTATTTCATCTTAGATTAGCTTAGCTTAACTTCGTCTTAGCTCTGGTTGATATTAGCTTAGCTTACCTTCATCTTAGCTTCGCTGAGCTTTAGCATAACAGAGCACAGCATAGCATAGCATAGCGTAGCATAGCATATTCGCATGGGTGTAATTCCCTACCTAGGCTCTGCCCCGAAGGTCATCTTAACTTAGCTTAGCTTAGCAGAGCGCAGCGCTGCATTAGCATAGCATATCATAACATAGTCAAGCATAGCATAGCATAGCATAGCATAGCGCATAATCGCATAACATATCATAGCATAGCATAGCATAGCGCAGCTTAGTACATCATAGCATAGCATAACATAGCTTAACATAGCACGGCGCAGCATGACATAACATAGTTTACCATAGCACATCATAGCATATCATAGCATAGCATAGCGCAGCATATCATAGCATAGCATAGCATAGCGCAGCATAGCATAGCATAGCATAGCATATCATAGCAACTCATGCCGCTTTCCTAGGGGCTCCAACTTCTAGGTAGGGTCGCACTGGGGTAATTTTAACTAATTCCGAGTATTCCTCCTCAGGGACAGGCCCGAGTTAAGACCAGCACCGCGCGGCGAGGCTCGCAGCGGCGAGGGGAGGCCTCCCGGGAGGGCCACCGAAAGAGGGCTCGAAGGAAGGGCAGCGGCACGGGCATCCGGCCCTCCTCCGAGGAAGGGGCAGGAGTAGAGGGCAAAACATCCACCCCCATGAAAATCACCCCGACAAGCGAGGTCGTTTACTAAACGCCCCCACTGAAGGAACCGAACAAGGCATGGCTCCTTCGTAAACGCCCAAAACCGTTTAGAAAACGCCAATTGTCCGGTCCGGGTGGTTCTTCGTCCACTGAAGGAGGGACAGCAGGAGCAGCAGAATAGAGTCATCGGCCTGACCTAAGGAACGATACATGAGGAACGAAGCTCCTTTTTTCCAAGAAGTGCGCATAAGGAACGAAAAGCAATAACGCATAACTGGCTGCCCGCCGTTTGCATTGACCCCCGTCCCAAGGCTTGCGAGGCAGGCTCCTCCTGCCCCCGTCGCCGTGCTGGTCATTCTTCGTTCCCCTACGGCTATGCTGCTCCCATCGTACTCAAAGACCACATCCCAGAAGTAATTTCGAGCACACGGAAAAGTGCCGAAACAGTGTCGAAACAGTATCGGACGAGCGAGTGCCCCCCAAGGGGCCCGACGCGTGAAACCCATCGAGCTTCGGCACTTGTTTTCGGTGCTCGAAATTCTCTCTGGTGATTCAGGCGACAGCATGCTGGAACATCATAACCCTACGGCAGGCCTTTCGGGAGCGGCCAAGAAGAGGTATAAAAAAGGGGGGTGCAAATCATGACCGGCGGCATGTGCGCGCGCGGACCAGCGGGGGGGCCAGGGACGTAATGAAATGAGCAGAGGCGCCATGAAATCTGGAAAAAATATCATGACTAACCCTTGGTTTTCTGCGGGGAACACTTCTCTCTACTAAGCTCGCTGGTCTATGCGACTCGGATCCGAGGCCGAGAGGCGGACGTCCTGAACGCCTCTCGGACCCCGCCATGATATCCACCCCCCCCTAGTCATCACCCCCCTCTTTGCCGCCCCCGATCATAGTCCCACGGCAGGCCTGCCCTGCCCCCGCCGCCGTGCCGGTCATCCGCCGCCCCCCCCCCCCCCCCGCAGCGCCCCCGGCGCCGCCTCTCCTCCCGCGGCCCCGCGCCCCTCGCGGTGGGAGGCCCGAGCGCCCGAGGCGCGGGAGGGACGTCGGACGTCCTCTGGCTTCTACTCCTCCTCGCCTCTATCCTCCTCCTCCCCCTCCTCCTCCCTTTATCCTCCTCGTCCTCCTCGTCCTCCTCCCGCCGTCCTTGTTCTGTCCTCCGGCCCTCCACCTCCCCCTCCTGCTCCTCCTCCTTCCTTCCTCCTGGGGGGCTCCGGACTGACCTTGAGAGCTACGGCGAGGGGCTGGCTGGAGGCGTCCACTTTTGCGCTCGAGACGAGCGGCCACGTCGTGCCTGCCTTGGGCAGTCCACCGGACCAGAGGGGCAGGTGCCTACGGCACGCGACACAGCATCTGCGCAGAGGAATTACATGGCTCAACCAGAAAAGCAGCAAGTGAAACGATATCTACGCCGACACAACATCTACCCAGCGCGCCAAACAAAACACATGGAATAGTGGAAGGAAGGGAGAGGAGGAGGACGAGTGGCAAGAGCAGAACTACTACGACGACGACTACTACTACTACTACTACTACTACTACTACTACTACTACTACTATTACTACCACTTCTACTATTAATATTACTACGACTACTACTACTACTACTACTACTACTACTACTACTACTACTACTACTACTACGACTACTACTACTACTACTACTACTAAGACGACTACTACTACTACTACGACCACTACTACTACTTCGACTACTACGACTACCACTAGCATTAATGATGATAATAGTGTTCTGGCGAATCATGATAATCTGAAGACGAGGAGAAAGGGAGAAGGACGAGGAGGAGGATGAGGATGAGGAGATGCAGAGAATGAAGAGGGGGAGAATGACTGAGAGGAATAGTACCAGTCCTCGTCATCATCGCCCTCGTCCTCCGCCTCCCTCCAGCCCCCCCTCCTCGGGAGAAGCTCTTCCTTCTCCCCATCTTCGTCCTTCCCGTCTCTCTTCAGCTGCAACTCCTCGATCTCATCATGTCAGTGGTTCTAATTCTCAGACGCAACCCAAAACTCCCCCAGATTTTCAAACCAAATTCTAATACCCAAATCCTCTCTCCGGCTGCCCCACCATCCCCATCTAGACATACGATTAGGCCGGGGATGGCCCCCTAGAGTCGGATTTTGGACGAAAAATCGACAGTACTCCAAACATGCCCTAACATAGTCAAAATGATAGAAACACCGTCCCCAGATTATGTTATGATTATTTGTTGATGCTCCTCCTGTAACTAGAGGGACCCGCGCGACTTACACCTAGACGCACGACGACCCCACTGTCGCGCAGCACGGCGCGGACCCCCGAGCCGGACCCTCCCCCGGGCCCCAGGGGGCCCGAACGTCTCGGGCCCCGGCCCGGAGCACGCCCTCGATCTGCCCTCGTCGCCCCCGCCCCCACGACGCCGCTGCCGGGGGGAGCGAGAAGGGTAGGGCAGATCGGGGCCCTCGGGTTGGGTTGGGGTGGTCTGGCGGGTGGAGGCACCGCTCCAATCCCCGACCTTCCAACCGCGGAGCGCATCCGTACACTGCCGCCACGCCTGGCCAAGGCCGTCCTAGGCCATGGCTTGGCGTACACGCGTCCTCCCCGCCCAGGCCGGGAGGGTCTGCGAACCAGGTTCGGGGGGAGCGAAAGGGGGGCAATAGCCAAAGGCAGGGTAGAGAATCAGCTCACGTAGCTGATTTTCCCCGCGCCCTCCGGCGCCGGGAGGCGTCCACGCATCGAGGGGTGGGCCTGGCGGCGGGGCCGAAGCCAGCTGCATGCAGCAGAATTCGTACCCCCCCTTTCCCTATCCCCCCCTTTCCCCAGACGCCGCTGGTGGCCTTACACGCTTTCAGTTTCTCCTCTGGCGACGAAGACACACCAGAGGATTGATTCACTTCATTTGGCAGTGATGTTATGCGAGAACAAAATAAAAGACGCCGCAGGTGCCCTCGGGAGGTCCCCGGTAACTAAACAAGTATGATTATTGGACCCCCCCATGCGCTTTGACACCCTCGCCTCAGCGCCAGCTACATGTTCATTGAAAACGAGGCTCACGCTCGAGCGGTTTGGAGGGGCGACACAAACGGCCGGGCAGCAACAACAACAGTAACAACAGCAATCACAACAACAACAACAACAGCAACAACAACAACAACAACAACAATTACTAGCACGTGGGGACACTCCGTTCTCACCAGTGCCAGGGTTTTCATAGGAGGCGGGCAATACCCCCACTTTGTGGGGGGGCCGGTTCAAGCTCTACCAAATTTCCAAACGACTCTTCGCCACCACCCACACCCAGCTTCCCGCCCTATGACGTTCGGACACTTCACTTCGTGGCATGCGGACGACCGTGGCTACTATTCAGGGCCCCGCGGCCGACGACGACGGCGTGCGCGCGCGAAGAAAAAACGAATGTGTCCCGCATGGTATTATTTGACAGGGATGATGGCCCTGGCAGGTGCGCAACCGTTGTGCAGAAGTTCGAAAAAGTTGCTCGCAAAAGCCCGTTTGACAGAAATGTTTAAAAAGTGTTGGGTTTCCTACAAATCCGCAAGAGCGCGCGGGATGAAATTTTGACACTTTTTTTTTGAAAAACCATTGATTTTTTGATGTTTTTATGTTAAAATCGCTACGAACACTAAGGTTTTGGAAGGATTTCGTCTTGCGCGCGCGAATGTCCACTTTACCTTATTTTTTGCAAGGGATTCTTGAAGTTTGGTTATGTTAGAACAAGAAATTTCATTTTATAGTGTTTTTTGCAAGGGAAAGCGGGGGGGAACAAAACAACCGGATCTGGATCACATCGTTTTGCCTGAGACTTCCTCACGAAAATGATGAAAATGTGGCTGCGGCCTAGGCGCGGCGGGGGGGGCGCGCACCAGGGGTCCCAACAATAATTATTCTTAAGAAGAAATAATGTTCAACAACAACAACGACAACGACAACGACAACGACAGCGACAACAACAACAACAACAACAGCAACAACAACAACTACAACAACAACTACAACAACAACAACACCAACAACAACAACAACAACAACAGCAACAACAACAACAACAACGACAACGACAACGACAACGACAACGACAACAACAACAACAACAACAACAACAACAACAACCACAACAACAACAACAACAACAACGACGACGACAACAACAGCAACAACAACCACGCTCCCGCTCGAGACTTCCTCCTTTTCTACTCAGAGACGGTGCTCTTGCTCGCTGTTCGTGGTGGTGGTCGTTGTTCCGCTGCGGTCCCGAAGCACCACGGCGCGGGGGAGACGGTGTCCAGCCAGCCCCTTCTCCTAAGGGGGAGGGGGCTCTCCCTGCTACGCTCGATGCGTTCACAGATCCAGTCGACTCTGCTTGTTCCGTCCTTTCTCTGCTCTCTGCTGCTCAGTGCTCGATCCTGTCTTGACCTTGATCTGGCAGCGGTCCCTAGGCAACAAAAAAAACTCCCTCTCGCGTCGGACGAAGGGGGAGGAGGAGGAGGAAGAGGAGGAGGAGGAGGAGCAGGAGGAGGGAGAGGGGGGGCAGGAGGGGAGGGGGGGAGGAGGGGGAGGAGGAGGAGGGTGAGGGAGGAGGGGGAGGAGGAGGGGAGGGGAGGAGGAGGAAGGAGGAGGAGAGGGAGAGGAGGATGAGGAAGAGGAGGAGGAGAAGGGAGGAGGAGGGGGAGGATGAGGAGGAGGTGAGGAGGATGAGGAGGAGGAGGAGAAGGAGGAGGAGAAGAGGGGGGGGGGGGGGGGGGGCAAAAATCTTCTTGCCGCCTCCAGGCACCAGGAAGAGCCCGTGCATGGAGGAAGGTTCTCGCCCGGCCCCGGGCCGAAGCCATGCGCTCGTAGCAGAATTCACATTTAAACTGAGCAGGGGCCGACCGTCCCGGCATTCCTATAGGCCTGCCACGAAGTCTTCGTAGAAACCCAACATTGAACGGCAACGATAGGGGGAGGATAGGCATAGGGGGGAAAATATCGACCTGGAATCGGCGATACATCGCCAATAGATCGGCGATAGGCCCCCGATAGAGGATCCGCACGTTCCCGGGCGGGGTGGGGCTATCGGGCCCCTATCGGCGATCAACGGGCGATTGGGGGTCGATGTATCCCCCCCAAATGCGTATCCCCCCCTATCGCTGCCCCCGACAATTTTTCTAAGAACAGAAACAATCTTCTTAGAAAAGAAACCCAATGTAAAAAAAAGACAGTCCCAGCCAGAAATGTCCTCAAGAGCATTTCGTGGAGACCACAAACAAGGTTCTCAGCACAGTGTTTGGTGTGCCTATAGGCACGCCAGGACGCTTCGCCACTGCTTGAAATCAGACCCCCCCTTTTTCCAATGCCCCGCTTCCCCTGGGAACCGGCGCAGCAATGACGCGGCAGATGTCGCCCCCCCCCGCCGCTTGGAAGAATCCTCGCCGTCTGGGTGACCGCCCAAGCATCAAACAAAGGCACGCACAGGCAAGCATCACGTTCGGCAATCAAGGGGCCTCAATGGGCCCGCACCACAGGTCACTCGGGCGAAGGGTCACTCATACGTGTAGTCTTAGGTCGGGCGTGTCCCCCTACAGGCGCATTTCGGGCGAAAAATCAAACATAACCAAAAATACACACCACCATAATCAAAAAATGCTGAACAAATCGCCACCGACTATTTTTTTGACTATTTTTGAATACCCCTCCTGTAGAAGGATAGGCCCAACTTAACACAAGCATGCGCAAGCAAACATCACGTTCGGCGATCGGGGGGCCCCAATGGACCCGCACCAAAAGGTCACTCGGGCGAAGGGTCACTCGTATGTTTAGCTCGGGCGTGTCCTCCTACAGGGGGATTTTGGATGATAAATGTAAACGTACTCCAAGCATATTCCAAGCATACTTCAAACAGTCAACAAGTCGCCACCAGACTATATTTTGACTATTTTGGACAGGCCCGACTTAATCTCATGTGTAATCGGTGAAGCTGCCCTGCAGACGGAGCGGCGACCCGGATACCAGCGGGCGCGCCGAAGGGAGGGGCCACGAAGTCTCGAAGGTGGGGGGGGGAGAACGCGGCATGGCCCGAGGCGCGCGGGCGCGGGCGAGCGGGGGGCAGGGTGATGGGCCTGCTTTCCACCACCACCACCACCATAAGTTGGAGGGGGAGGGGGTCCTCGTCCTCCTCCTCTAACTCCTCCTCCTCTTGGTCCTCCTCCTCCTCCTCGTCCTCCTCCTCCTTCCCCCCATCCTACTTATGGTGGTAGTGGTGGTGGAAAACAGGCCCAGCAGCAAGAGACGCATGGAGAGAAGAAGCGCCCTGGACGCGGTCGTGATAGCGACGGACACACACACACACCTGCAGAGCGGGCGCGGCCGCAAGAGACCCTCGAGAGAAGCCTGGCCCTGAGACCCGCAGGCGCGAGATGCAAAAGGGGAAAGCCCAGCTTCTTCGACGGCTGGGAAGAGTCACCGCGCAGCGCGCGGAGCGAAGACACTCAGGGCACCCTGACGAAGAGCATCTGGTTTCTTGATGCGCGCCCCCACTGTGGTCCCCGCCTCCCCCCGTGCTCTCTGGCCCCCGAGGCACCCGACGATGCGACGTGATTGGCCCAACCCGCGGCCCCGGAGGTCTCGACCCCTTGTTTGTCGCCCTGGCATGTGACGGTCACGGGGCCCGATGAGGGCTCCCGGGGGCCGCAACGAATGGAACTTTCCTGTCTGCGGCGGCGAGGCAAAGGCAGTCCGCTCCAGCGTGTGGCTCTTTCGGCGGCGACGATAGGGGCGAATAGCCCAGGGGCGGGCATTACACGTATTCGCCCGGCACCCTTCTCGAAAACATCGATCCTCGGCGCCCCTGAATACACGTATTGCTCTCCCCTGGGCTATTCGCCCTTATCGTCGCCTCTGGCTCTGCGGGGCAAGCGACAGGCGACTTGCCCGGCGTGCGGGAGGAGAGACGGATGGTGCACGCCCGGATTGAACAATCGCAACGTCGGAGAGCTACTAGGCCCCTCTGACCCCGCCCGTTCGTGAGACACGGCTTCCCCCCCTAGGAGGGAGGAGGAGGAGGAGGAGGAGGAGGAGTGAGGAGGAGGAGGAGGAGGAGGAGGAGGAGGAGGAGGGGAGGGTGGAGGAGGGGGGAGGAGGAGGAGGAGGAGGGGGAGGAGGAGAGGAGGAGGAGGGAGGAGGAGGGGAAGGAAAAGGAGAGAGGGGGAGAAGGAGGAGGAGGGGGGGAGAAGAGAGGGGAGGTGAGGAGGAGGAGGAGGAGGAGGAGGAGGAGGAGGAGGAGGAGGGGAAGGAGGAGGAGGAGGACGAGGAGTAGGAGGAGGAGGAGAAGGTGCAGGAGAAGGAGTCCATCCCAACGCCAGTGCCCAGCCCCGCTCAGCCCAGGAGCTCGCGCAGGTGCGCCAACCTTGCGGGCTTCGACGCAGCCCCGTCGGCGCCGATGGTCACCCCGTACGGGTCCTCTTGTCGCCGCCGCCGCATTCGCCGTCGCAGAAACCGTCGCCGACGTCGTCGACGCCGTCGCCGCGCGCGGTCGTCGTCCTCGTCACCGATCACTTGGAAGCGGCCTCTGCGCTGGAGGGGTCCAGAGACAATTGGTCCAAGAGGGGGGGGCTAAGTAACTAGGTCGCATCTGCTCAAGATCAGTTCGCCGACCACTCCCGGGGTCGAAGTTGACCAGCTCGTCAAGCCGCGTCCATTCCTCGCGACGAGGTGTCCGACTGTTTTTCTCGACGTTCCCGCGTTTCTGTTTCTGGAAAGTGGTATATTCGGGTGTGTTATACCGAATCGTGTTGGCGATGCTAACGATGGTGACTATTGCGATGGTGTCGGTGGAACCGCGGAAGGTAATAGTAACATTGGCGATGAGGACGACAGTAACGATGAAGATAATGATCGAAACCGAACGTATCTCTGTCTCATCATTAATGTGTTTCCCTTCCTCTGGCTTTCTCTCTCTCTCTCTCTGTCTCCCCGTGTTGTCCATCCCTAAATGTCATATCATAGTCTGAGTACTTGTTTCTGTCTAGTCACCCCGCGCACTCACATTCACTCTTTGTCCCACGCCCCACCATCTCCATCACCATCATGACCATCGCCACTGTCATCATCAACGCCGCGATACCACCATCACCGTCACAACCACCATCGCCAGAATCACCACCTTCACTCCCTTAGATACTCACCCCGTCGCTTGGCACTCCTCATTCAAGCACTAATCGCAACCACACCATTACCATCACCATCATCAACGCCAACATCATCATCACCACCATGCCTGAAAATGTAGGACGTACCACACGGGAACCTCGTCTGTGAGTAACTTGCGAGAACGTCTCATGCGGGAGCCCATTCCCCATAAGGCCCATCATGTTGGTAATCCGAGCGGGTCATGAGCAAACCTGAAATTGTCGTTACTGTTCGAAGGGCCTCATGCTTGAAAATGGAGGACATATCAAGCGGGGCCTTCGTCTGTGAGTGAATCGCGAAACAAACTCAAGTGGGAGCCCTTTCCCTGCGGGGCCCGCAGCTCATGTTGGTAATCCGGGCGGGTCATCCGCAAACCTTTGGTTGTCCACATATTTGAGGTTCCTCACGTCTGAACGTGGAGGAATATCCAGCGGGATCCTTATGTGTGAATGGAGTGCAAAGAGGTCTCAGGCGGGGGTCATCCGCAAATTGTACCTGTCGTCGCTGTTTGGGACTCCTCATGCCCGCGCATGGAGGACGCATCGAGCCAACTGGCTACCTGCTGGAACTGCTCGGGGGGCCTGTCGAGGTCAGCTGGGGCTACACGGCGGCGGCTTCGGGATCCCAAAAAAAACGTTGACATCTCTTTGGGGGCGCGCTTGTCACTTCAGCCGCCTTCCGCCGAGCGTCCGCCGGCGGAGGCGCTCTCGTTCTACTTCCCGCCGCTAAATGGGCGATGCCGGAAACCAAGAACCGTTGTCATCTCTTCGGGGCGCCTGTTTCGCTTCCGCCGCCTTCCGCCGAGCTTCCGCCGGCGGAGGCGGCCTCATTCTACTTCCGCCGACCTTCCGCGGTCTCTGGGCGCGGTCCGTCCTGCCTTCGGCCGCGCCCGACGCTGCCTCTGAGCCACTCAGGGCCTCGGCGTCGCGGTACAACAGGTCGGAGTCGCGGAGCAACAGGAGGATGAGAAGGGGAGGAGGAGGAGGAGGAGGAGGAGGAGGAGGAGGAGGAGGAGGAGGAGGAGGGTGGAGGAGGAGGAGGAGGAGGAGGAGGAGGAGGAGGAAGGAGGAGGAGGAGCAGGAACAGGGGGAGGAGGAGACCCAGAAGGAGGAAGGGACACTCCGCGACCCTTCGCGTGGAAGGATGGCAACTCCTTCCATCCTCGAGGGCGGGGCGGGGCCCTGTTTGGAACGCCTCAAGGGGGGGTGCCTGTGCGCAGCTGGCGCCCGCCAAGGTGTGATGCCCCTGGGGCGGCCTGAGGAGGAGGAGGAGGAGGTGGAGGAGGTTGAGATGGAGGAGAGGAGGAGGAGGAGGAGGCGGACAATGAGAAGAAGGAGAAGTAGGAGTAGGGAGGAGGAGGAGGAGGAGGAGGGGAGGAGGGAGAGGAGGAGAAGGAGGAGGAGACGAGGAGAGAGGAGGAGGAACGGTGGAGAAGGAGGAGGAGGAGCAGGAACAGGAGGAGGAGGAGCAGACAGAAGGAGGAAAGGACCTTCCGCGACCCTTCCGCCGTGGAAGGGATGGCAACTCCTTCGATCCTCCGAGGCGAGGCGGGGCCTGTTTGGAACGCCTCACACGGGCGGGGGCTGCCTGTGCGCAGCCTGGCGCCCCGCCACGGTGTGATGCCACTGGGGCGGCCTGTACCCTTACAGGGCGGAGGAGGAGGAGGAGGTGGAGGAGGAGGAGGAGGAGGAGGAGAGGAGGAGGAGGAGGAGGAGGAGGTGGAAGAGGATGGAGGGAAGAGGAGGGGGAGAAAGGCAAAGGCAGGGAGGAAGTAAGAGTAGGGAGGAGGAGTAGGAGAGGAGGAGGAGGACGAGGAGGAGGACGGAGGAGAAGGGAACAGGTGGAGAAGGAGGAGCAGGAGGAGGAGCAAAAACAGGAGGACGCGGAGGCACAGAAGGAGGAAGGGACCTTCCGCGACCCTTCCGCCGTGGAAGGGATGGCAACTCCTTCGATCCTCGAGGGCGAGGCGAGGCCCTGTTTGGAACGCCTCACACGGGCGGGGGCTGCCTGTGCGCAGCCTGGCGCCCCGCCACGGTGTGATGCCACTGGGGCGGCCTGTACCCTTACAGGGCGGAGGAGGAGGAGGAGGAGGAGGTGGAGGAGGTGGAGAAAGAGGAGGAGGAGGAGGTGGAGGACAAGGAGAAGGAGGAGGAGGAGAAGTGAGAGTAGGAAGGAGGAGGAGGAGGAGGAGGAGGAGGAGGAGGACGAGGAGGAGGAGGAGGAGGAGAAGCACGAGGAGGAGGAGGAGGAGGAGGAGGAGGAGGAGGAGGAGGAGGAGGAGGAGCAGGAGGAGGAGGAAGGGTCCTCGGCCCTGCGCTGCTCGCGGCGCGCCCTGTCCCGCTCGGCCTCGAAGCGGCCGGGCGGCTCGCCCAGCCGCGCCCTGCCGCAGACCACGGCCGCGACGGTGGTCGCTGCCGCTGCCGCGGGCGGCAGGGGACTGGGCGGCTCCTCGCAGGAGGCGGAGGAGGCAGAGGAGGCGGAGGGAGGGGGGAGGAGGAGGAGGAGGAGGAGGAAAAGGAGGAGGAGGAGGAGGAGGAGGAGGAGGAGGAGGACGACGAGGAGGAGGAGGAGGAGGAAGAGGAGGAGGAGGATGAGGAGGAGAGGAGGAAAAGGAGGAGGAGGAGGAGGAGGAGGAAGAGGCGGCGGCTCCTCGCAAAGGCGGGCGAAACTCCGAGGACGTTCTTGGAGGAACAAGCTTCTTAGGGGGAGCTGTGCAGGGGGGGGCACCTGCTCGGGAGGGTTGCAGCATCGACCTGGAACGGGCGATGCGCCGCCGATAGATCGGCAAAAAAATCTCCGATGGCGACGCCGTGCCCCTATACCACCCCCCTGACGTGACCCGCTGAGCAGCCTCTCGTCTGACCTGGTCCACCGGCGGGGACGGCGGCGGCGCGCTTTTCCACGGCGCAGGCGCTGCAGAGAGGGTGAGGAGGAGGAGGAGGAGACCAGCGTACCCAGAGGTCAGCTCCCCGCGCCTAGCACGGCGCCTGAGGCAGCAAGGGCACGCCTCCTGTCGAAGCTGTTGTAGCTGAGGCCGCCGACGCTGCAGCACATGATGTGCAGCGGATAGCCGTCGAATTTATATCATTCTTATTCAGAGGATGCTGAGTGCAGGGGGGAGCGAGAACGCAGGGGCCGGGGAGCAACGGTGCGAGGGTCACTAACGGCGCACCGCCGGGCAGTCCCCACTCGCACCGCGCCGAGGCGAGACGCAGAGAACAGAAAAGGAAAATGGGCAACAGGAGCCTTTTCCGACGGCACTCACACACATGGGGCAATCTGAGGGTGCCCCCAACTCCTGTACCAGGACTCGTACCAATAGAAGAAGATAGAGTAGCACTGCATGACCATGACGACGAAATTCTCGTCAGAGGCGAAATCGAAGAGGAGGGTCCCGCCATCAGCGACGGACAGGGCGCAAACGAAGAGGCAGCAGCCGTCGAACACGGCCAGGTCGGGGAAAACGAGCACGGGGTAGTAGCGAAGAGAGAGGCGATCCGTGTCCAAAACGGAGAAGCTCGTGACGACGGCGTAACTCTCCGAGACGGCGCAACTCTCGAGGATGGCGTGCAGCTCTCGAAGACGGCGCAACTCTCGTTGACGGAGACACTCTCGAAGACGGCGCAACTCTCGAAGACGGCGCAACTCACCATGACGGGGCAACACTCGACGTCGGCGCAATTCACGAAGAAGGCGCAATTCTCGATGTCTGAGCCCTTATTTCCATCAGAGGCGGTCGACCTCCGCACAAGAGACGAGATCTCGCAACTTACTCCAGAGCCCTTATTTAGAACAGAGGCGGTCGACCTCCGAACTCGAGACACAAGCTCGCAACTTACTCCAGAGCCCTTATTTAAAACAGAGGCGGTCGACCTCCGAACTCGAGACGCAAGCTCACAACTTACTCCAGAGCCGTTATTTCCATCAGAGGCGGTCGACCTCCGCGTTCTAACGCCGGTGGCCGCAGGGCTCGAGGAGCACCCTGCGACCGAGACCTGGAGGAGGAAAGAGGCAGAGTCAACGTCACCATCACCATCGGCGGCATCGCCATCATCTGGATCCACTGCTGAGACGAGTGAGGCAAAGTAGTGCACCGACCCGTTGGCGGCAACGATGGGCAGGGACTCGTCTCCATTGCTGTCCACAAGGAAGTCACGAATACGGTGTGGTGCAGCGGGTCCCAAGTATTGCCTCATCTCTCTGCGAATCTCACGAAGGGCTTGGAAATGTCGATCCACCATCTCTTCCCAGAGCCCGTGCCGCGTCAAGGAGTTACGCGGGTCACTCAGCCACCGAAAGTAATCTACAGTATTGAGGCGCCCCTCGGTAGAGGTGCCCCAGGCAACCATGCAGATATGACGAGCGAGCTCGTCGAGAGCACCACTCCAACCAGACGAATCCACCCATTCCATCGCCTCAAATTTGGCACGTACGTATGGGATGCACCACATCAACCAGTCGGCACGGCCGCTCTCGGAGTCATCCAAGCGCAAGATCCAGCGTGTAGCCCTTGGTGCAATACGTTCGCCGAAGACAACAGGTGTTGCATGCTCCACAGAGGAAGAATGTGGATGGCCCGCCAGACACAGGATGTGAGTACTCGGTGACGGCGTCGACTTCGACGAGGTGGCATCATCCAGACACCGCAACTGTACAGGGAGAGCAGGGTCCTCACGCACAGGAAGCCCTCCAACACGAAGGCGTTCGACACGCTTGATGGTCGCACGATATTCACGTTCAAGCCGGGTAACATCCGCCGCACATGCAGCTGGGACAGACATCGACGCTGCATGGACCGCGGAGAGCACCACCGTGGCGGCAAGCGGCCATGGGAACATGGATGCCGCAGGTCGCGTCGAGGTGGCTGCGGAAGCGGACGCCCGCCCGTTGACGCCCTGCCTTGAGGGCAGGGCCTCGCACTGAGCCAAAGCGCCAGCAGGCATGGACACAGGAGACACTGGATGGGAAACAGGTTGGCCAGCTTCATCAGCGCTATGTATCACATCGTCGCCACACGGGGTGGGAGGGACCAGGTCAGGGATGGGGGCCGCAGCATCTGAACTCAAACAGGAGGTGGACGATGAGGTGAGCACATCCCACTGAGGCTGCCTTCGGCGGATCGTCTGGACAGCAGGAGGAGGTTCCCACCGTTTCAACTTGGCTGAAGGCCTGGCCAGACGAGAGGTGCGGACGGCGGCCTCAACATAACCACGCAACTGACGGGGAGTCGACACTAGAGCACCTTGCCGAGCATAGTTGAAAACCTGGTAATAGACATAGAGAGCTTCGAAGTGGTCAGGGTGGGGGTGGGCAAGGCCAAGACGCTGAGCCAGGGGGCGAGGCAGGGCACGCTGTAGACCTTTGCAGACTGCCAGGTACAATTTAGGGCAGCGTAGATAATGTTGCAGCCGATCAGGGCCAGGGCATCCGAAACGACAGCGAAGCTTGCCCCTCGGGTGGATAATCCTATGTGATGTCAGCCATCCATGCCCCCAAGTCCGTAAGGCTGCCATCGCCCAGCTTTGCGGAACCAATGCCAAAAGCTCCTGAATAGCGGGCCAGTGGATCAGGTTGAGGAAGGGGAGGTAAGCTGTGAATAACGGGGTTAAGTGGCGAATCAGCATGGCATGTAGAGGTTTGTGCGTACACATGTTCTGACCCAACGAGCGGGCAGCAGCACGTTGCAGCTTGGGCCTTCGTGTTGTGACCTGAGCTTCCTCACGCATGGCAGAGCGAGCGGCGACGAGAAGGGGCTCTTGAGACCTCACGTGGACCAGCTCAAGGTGTTCGACGAACGCAGGGGATTTCCAGAAAGATGGATAAACACGGGAGCGATCCGCAGCAGCCAAGGGGATATCATCAAACTTTCCTTCCACAACCTCTCCGTGCCAACGAGAAGCCGTTTGTCGCAGTAGCCGTAAGTATTCCTCAAAGCCCTGGAAGGTGTGAAAAGCAGCACGTAGGTGAGCTGCAGTAGCATGGGCAGCCCACGAAGGAATCTGAGGACCACCCCAGGCCGGGAGCTCCAGGATCGATTCGTTCGAAAAGAGGCCAAGGGGAGCACGGAGAACTTGGGCGATGGCACCACGCTCAATGGGAAGGAGCCATTCGGGCATAGGGAGGAATTGGGCTACATACGCCAAACAGGGAGGAGGAGGAGGAGGAGGAGGAGGAGGAGGAGGAGGAGGAGGAGGAGGAGGAGGAGGAGGAGGGGGAGGAGGAGGAGGAGGAGGAGGAGGAGGAGGAGGGAGGAGGCGTCTTGGGCGCGATCCGTCCTGCCTTAGGCCGCGCCCGACGCGCCCTTGAGCCACTCAGGGCCTCGGCGTCGCGGTTATCAGGTCGGAGTCGCGGTGGCAAAGGAGAGAGGAGAGAGGAGGAGGAGGAGGAGGAGGAGGAGAGGAGAAGAAGAAGGAGAGGAGGAGGAGAGGAGGAGGAAGAGGAGGAGGAGGATAAGGAGAATGAAGAGGAGTAGGAGGAGGAGGAGGCGGCGGAGGAGGAGGAGGCGGAGGAGGAAGACGCGGAGGAGGAGGAGGAGAAGCAACAGGGGGAGGAGGAGGAGGAGGAGGAGGAGGAGGAGGAGGAGGAGGAGGAGGAGGAGGAGAGGCGCGGAGAGATCCCGAGCTCCTGACGTCTTGCCCAGATGCGGGGCCGGGGGCCCTCCTGGATCGATAGGGCTCGAAAAATGGCGCAGAGAGATGGTATCCAGGGGCTCCAGTCCGCATTCCTCGCGATGACCCGGTTTTTCTTTCAGGCGTCGGATCTCGAGGGCCCGCTACTCTTAAGTCGGGCCTGTCCGCCTACAGGCCGACTTTGGACGAGACATTCAAAATAGTCAAACGATATCCCCAACAATTATCAAACATCGTCAAAACATCGTTCCCAGAGTATTGTTTGACTATCTTCGAATATTTCCCCTGTTGAGGGACATGCCCGACTTGATGCTCCTCTCGCGCCTCGCCGTCCCCGAAATCCCAGCGTGGCGAAACAAAAATCACGACGGGCAGTGTTGGCCCATGGTCGCGGCACCTGGGGGCCTCCACCTCGGCCACCGGGCCGTCGACCGATCCAGGACAGCTCGGGACTCTCGGAACCAGAGACCGATCCCTGGGAACCTACATGCTCGTCCTCCTTCTTCGTGCGAACTCCGACTTCCTTTGTCCTCCCTCCCTTCCTCCTCCCCCTCCCTCGCTTCCCCTCCCTCGCTTCCCCTCCCTCTCCCCTCCCTCTCCCTTCCCCTCCCTTCCCCTCCCCCTCCCCCTCCCTCCCTCCCTCCCTCCCCCTCCCCCTCCCTTCCCCTCCATCCCTTCCCTCCCCAGCCCTCCCTTCCTCTCGAGGTCCAGACCTCTGGGGAGCCAAATGTATAACAAAAACTCGACGTCGGATGGTCTGGGCTGCTACGATCGGCGACTCCAGTAAGGGTGTGGCTTGCAAAGGGTGTGCTTTGCAACCAGCACCCTGAGGAACATCCTGAGGGGCACCCTAGGGGACGCGCGGGGACCTCGATAGAGCTCTCCCGCGCCCCGAGGAGGCCCGACGAGGACGGTGTCGATCGCACACCACACCCCGGCGTGACCAGACCCTTTGTGGTCGCCGATGCTATCGCCCTCGCCTGTGCCGACGCCCCGCATCTGCGACGACGCCTGCACAAGCAGCAGGCGCAGGCGACAAGAAACACTGCCGCGAGGGATCTGCAAGGGCACCCAACTTAGCGCTTCGCGCTGCGCGAAGTGCGAATAGCTTCGCGCTCTCGCGCCGCCTCCCAGGGGAGAAGAGGAGGAGGAGGAATCGGAGCCGAACCGCGAAACGCGAATAACTTCGCGCCCTCGAGGGCGCCCTTGGATCTGGAGACACATCCTTTGTCGCCCTGGAGCTTCGCACGGTCATGGGGACAGCAGCGCCTCTCGCGGGGAACCTGCTGGCTGACCAGCCTCTAATCATTCGATTGGACCGCTGCACGCAGGATGCCCCACGCGCCCGCGCCGCGCCTTCGCCGCTGCCGATTGTGAGCCTCGCACGGCCATCGGGACAGCAGAGCCTCTCGTGGTGAACCTGCTGGCAGACCAGCTTCTCATTCTTCGATTCGCCCACTGCAGACCTGAACCAGGCGAACCCTTCTCGGAGCAGAGGGAGGCCCGCCATGAGGTGGGACGGCTTCTGAGGCAGGAGCCTGGGGCTCTGTTCGTTCTGCCTCCTCCTTCTCCTCCTCTTCCCTTCTTTCTTGCAACGATGCCCGAACGCTGTTCGATCGGACCCTGACGGAGTAACGGGCAGGATGCCCACGCGCCCGCGCCGCGCCTTCGCCTTTGCCGACCGTGAGCTTCGCACGGCCATCGGGACAGCAGAGCCTCTCGTGGGGAACCTGCTGGCTGACCAGCTGCACGCAGGATGATGGGCCTCTTTCCACCACCACCACCACCACCACCATAAGCTGGAGGGGGAGGGGGTCCTCTTCCTCCTCCTCCTCCTCCTCCTCCTCCTCCTCCTCCTCCTCGACCTCCTCCTCCTCCTCCTCCTCTTCCTCCTCCTCGTCCTCCCCCTCCTCGCCCTCCACTGGAGGGGGATGACGAGGAGGGGGATGAGGAGGACCCCCTCCCACTCCTCGTCCTCCACCGGAGAAGGAGGAAGAGGAGGAGGAGGAGAAGGAGGAGGAGGAGGAGGAGGAGGAGGTCGAGGAGGAGGATGAGGAGGACCCCCTTCCCCTCCAGCTTATGGTGGTGGTGGTGGTGATAAACAGGCCCATCACAGGATGCCCACGCGCCCGCGCCACGCCTCCGCCGACGCCCGATCCCTGCGCCCTTGCGCCCCCGGTTCGTGAAGACCCCCCTCGCGCCCAAGCCAGGGCCCCCCCACTCTCCACCGCCACTGCCACAGGCAGGAGAGGGAGGAGGAGGAGGAGGAGGAGGAGGAGGAGGAGGAGGAGGAGGAGGAGGAGGAGGAGGAGGCGAGGATGAGGAGGAGGAGAGGAGGAGGAGGAGGAGGAGGAGGAGGAGGAGGAGAAGAAGAAGAGCTGAACCACTCAGGCCGGAGTCGCGGTAACAGGAGGAGGAGGAGGAGGAGGAGGAGGAGGAGGAGGTTGGAGCGTCTGGGGGAGGAGGAGGAGGAGGAGGATGATGAGGAGGAGGAGGAGGCGGAGGAGGAGGAGGAGGAGGAGGACGAGGAGGAAGAGGCGGAGGACCTCCTCATTCTCCCTTCTCCCCCGTCCTACATGTGGTAGTGGTGGTGGAAAATCGGCCCAGCCCCACCCCAGACAGGTAGGCCGATGGCCGGAGGCGCGGCCCTGGAGCAGGGACCGACCGTCCGGGCATTCCTTTAGGCCTACCACGACATGATTTGATGACACAGTAATGATCGACGAACAACAACAATGTTTCCTAGAGTATACAGCCGATGTGCTAAAACAAGACAGCCCCAGCCAGAAGGGTTCTAAGAACATTTCGTGGAGACCACCAAGAGGTTCTTAGGATGTTGATTGGTAGGCCTATATATCCGTCAGGACGCTCCGCCACTGCTTGAGGCCCTGGCAGTGAGACGAGAGGGGTCTCCATGGATGCAGTGGTTGGCGGCGAGCCCAGGGGGGGGAGACCGCCGGCCCCGAAGGAGCGTGAAAGACAGCAGGGCATCGGACCGTGGTGGTGCGGCGGGGGAGGGTGAAGGTGAGGGGGGACCGATGAAGAGGGAGAGGAGGAATGGGCCGGGAGGAGGAGGAGAGGAGGAGGAGGAGGAGGAGAAGGAGGAGGAGGAGGAGGAGGAGGAGGGGCGGGCCCTCTCAGAAGGCTCGGAAATCCGCTGGCCTTGTGAACAGTTGTTTTGAAGTTCCCCAGGAAGCCACCGAAAACTCATCGGAAGGCGCGAAAACGTCGGATTAAGCAGGGACCGACCGTCCTGGCAATCTGGTAGGCCTACCACAGAATTTTCTTAGACCCCAAATATATTCTAAGAACAAAGGCACTGTGGTTAGAACATGAGCCCGATGCGTCAACACAGGACAGTCTCAGCCAGAAGTGTTCTCAGAACAGTTCGTGCAGACCACGCGAGGTTCTTAGAACATTCCAGGACGCATCGCCTCTGCTTGATCTGAGAAGTCCCGACGCCTTCTGAAAAAGCCTCTTCCTTCTCACATCCTCTCCTCGCTCGCCGGCGACCCCCCGGGAGGAGCGGAGGAGGAGGAGCGGAGGAGGCGGAGGAGGAGGAGGAGGAGGAGGAGGAGGAGGAGAGGAGGAGGAGGAGGAGGAGGTGGAGGAGGAGGAGTATCTGGAGGAGAGGAGGAGGATGAGGAGGAGGAGGAGGAAGAGGAGGAGGAGGAGGAAGAGGAGGAGGAGGTGGAGGAGGAGGAGGCGGAGGCGGAGGGGGAGGAGGAGAAGTCCCGATCTCCTTCTCACCCCCCCCCCACTCGCCGCCGACACGGCCGGAAGAGCGGTCGGGCCAGGTCTGCCGCCCCCGACGGGACGGAGCCCTGGGCCCCCGGGGGCTGGGCAGCGACTAGCTCCCCGCGGGAAGAGGGCGCCTGGCGGAGGCCGCGGAGGCAGAGCGGCTACAACGAAAACGCCAACGCCAGCGCCGACGACGACGACGACGACGACGAAGACGACCACGACGTCGAATGCGGCGTCGACGACGTCGACGACGATGACGACAACCAGCGGCGGCGGCGGCGCCGACGACGACAGGCCGCGGCGGCGGCGGCGGCGACGGAGACGACGACGACGACGACGACAACCAGCGGCGGCGGCGGCGGCGGCGGCGACGACGACGACGACGACGACAGGCGGCGGCGACGGACGGCGACGACGGGCGGCGACGACGATGTCGTCGGACGACGGCGGCGACGAATGCAGAGGACGGCGTCGAGCGGCGGCCAAGAAACAGGCGGCGCCAGAGAGACAGCTCCTCGGCCACGGTGCCCGGGGTTGCGGCCTGGCGCAGCGGCGAGCCTCGCGCGGACCAGGCGTGGTGGCCCGGCGGGGTGAGCTGAAGGACGCTCTTGGGCGAGGACGCGGCCGACGACGCCAGGGGCGTGGCGCCTGTCAGGCTCTTGGGTGAAGGCACGAAGCCTACGAAGCGCTGCGCGAAGGTAAGCAGACCCGAGCCCTGTGCGGGGGGGGGCCGGGTGCCCCGCCTGTCCTCGGCTCCTACGAGCACGAGCGGAGACGCCGCCTCTGGGCCGCTGCGCATGCGCTCGAAGATTTCTGTCCTCACCCGCTTCTCGGCCAGCATGTCCACGACTTGGTTCATGGAGCGGATGGCTCCTGCGATCATCTTCCGGGCGTACGATATTTGATCCAGCATGTCCTCAAGCCTCTCTTCCATTTTCTGTGCACGCCTGAGCAGGCTGTACACGCGGATGGAGCATCTCATCCAGTCCTTTTCGTTCAGGGGATCGCCAAATGATAGCAGGCCCCTCACCAGCTTGTAATACGTCACGGTGCCAGCGTTCTCGTGGTCGAAGAGACGGACCATTTCCTCCGGATCCTCCAGAATGGGCGCCTCGAGCCTCTGAAACAAGTCTATCAACAGCGGGTCCTCCATGCATTCTGCGAACTCGCTTGCGGTAAGGAACCCGTCCCCGTCCTTGTCCACCCTCGCAAACACCTGCCAGGCGCGCTCTGCAAGCGCCTCGCGGTCCTGCCTGGCGCTTCTGTGCTTCGCATCCTCGAGCCCCTTCGACGATGTCATCGACCTGATCACAACGTTCGAGACGACGCACAGAACGAGCCCGTACGACGTGGCGAACAGGAAGCAGGTGAAAAACGCGAACGTGGCGGGGTAGACCTCGACAATAGGCCTCGCGATGGCGTCGGCCCAGTGCGACAGCGTCGTCACCTGAAGGAGGCTGAGGACACTTCTGCTGAGGCTTCCGAAGTACTCTCGGTTGTCGAATGCCTCGAACGCCTCGTAGTCCTCCAGCGGGTCGCGCGTCTCGTTCCACTCCGCAGACTCGCCGACCACCTTGTATGCGAATGTCGCAATGGCAAGCATCATCAAAAACAGAAGCAGTATCATCCACAGCAGTGTCATCATGTGGCCGTAGGCGCCCTCGGTCAGCGCGACCAGCTCCTTCTGGTCCTTCAACTCCTTCGACATGCCCAGCAGCCGCACGACCCGAAGCAACCGAAACGATGGGAGCGCGCTCACAAAGCCGCGCTGTTCCTGCCAGACCAACCGCCCGATGATCGTCACGAAGAATATCGTCACATCCATGATGGTCACCCGGTCCCTCAATTCGTCCGTCCCGTGGGCCAGGAACCTGCCGCAGAGCTCCGTGAAGTACGCCAACAGGAACCCAACGTTCACGTTGTTGAACAGCGCGGGGGCGAGATCGTCATAGTCTGCCTCCACGCCGATGGTGATGACGTTCATGAAGACAATGGCCCCCATAATGCAAGTAAAGCGCTCCGAATCGACGAAGGCGGTCGACCGCGCCTCCGCCGGGCCGTCGGCGTGCTTGCGCTGGCGCCGGGCGTCGGGTTCGTCGGACTCGTCGGAGACGGTGGACTTGGCCCGGGCTATGGTCTTCCCCTTCTCCTCCTCCGACGTCCTGGTGCCAGAACGTATGAGCCTCTGCGCCTTCTTCGCCTCTTCCTGCCCCTCCCTCTGTCGATACACCTTCAGCTCTGTCTCCGTGAACTGTGTCTCCGTGACCTGTGACGCCACCTCGGCATCGAAAGTCACCGCCCTCGGGAGCACCTTCGCGGAGGTCGAGGGCTTCGAGAAAGATTCGTCTTCATCCAAGACGTCGGCGGTGACCGACCTGGTAAATCCTCGTCGAAGCAACCCGTCCACGGTTGAGTTCTTGTACATGTTGTGCAGTGGCATGCCGTTGGGTTGCGACCTCCTCACGATCGACCCTGTGCTGCTGCCGCCTTGGTCTGCCAGCGGGTGCCCTCGCACATCACCGCGAGACGCGCGCACGGGGGCACGGCGATCGCTAGGCAACGGCGGGAGCCCAAGCCCGCTCTGGGCCAAAAGAGGCTCTGCGTAAAAACCTCGGAGGCTGTCCTGGCTGGCTTTGACAGGGCTGCCCGACTCCACACGCAACGAGCGTCACCGAGCCTGCGTTCGACCTGGCAGAGCTCGCGCAGCGGGGGTCGAGCGGAAGGCGACCGCACCATGCAGATGCAGCGTGCTCACCATGTGACAGAACAAATCAGACCATAAGCACGCGCGGCAAGGACGCAAGGTATTGGACGACTGGGACTTGGAGGCCAGCGAGAGAAGACGGCTGAGAACAAGCCGACGAAGCAAGGACACACGAGTGCCTTAGGAAAGCCGCCTGCCCGTATGATCCTGTTGGAGTGCACGTGTCGCTAAGGTTCGCCCCAGAAGGGTTGCGACTCCACGTATGCAAGTTGGCCGCGCGCTCAGGGGGATTTTAAAAGGAGGAGGAGGAGGCGGTCGAGAGGAGGAGGAGAAGGATCTTGTCAGGAGGGATCTTAGGGTGATGATCTTGCTTGGGGGGGGAGGCGAAGGATTTTAGGCGGGGGAGGAGAGGAGGAGGAGGAGGAGGAGGAGGAGGAGGAGGAGGAGGAGGAGGAGGAGGAGGAGGAGGGAGGAGGAGAAGGCCTTTAGGAAGAAGAGGCCTCTGTTAGCTGCAACGTTAGCCCCATGCGCCCCGCACCTCTTGGCCTGCCGTACTCTCACATGGGTTGCTCCCTGCGCCCACTGGACCTGCAACTCGTCGCGTTCCGATGCACCCGTCTGCCTGCCAACTTGAGCTCCACTGGTGAGTGTTTTTTGTTCAGCGTTTCGACATTGGGCGGAAGGGGGGGAAGGGAGGGGGTCTGGCTCGGGACGTCTGTTTGCAAGAGTGCTGCCTCTGGGGGAGACTCCACCCGCTCGAAACAGGCGCTAACAAACAGTCAAGATCTACTCCATGGGGGGGAGGGGGGGGTGGGGGGCCCACGCCGATCGGCAAAACAACTAATCAAACAATGATCACATGTATGCATCTGCCTGCCAGCTTGAGCTCCACTGCAGCATCCGTTCCTCAAGGCCTGCCCCGCTGCAGAGGGTCGAGATGCCTCCTGATGTCCCCCCCAACGCGCTTGCAACGGCTGTTACATCGCGAGCCCGCGTGCTTCGCTCGTTCCGCGTCTGGCGATGTCATCGTCGGGCCCCCTCCACCCCGCACGAGTCGAGCCCAAATTGGGTCCTCCTTCGACGACAGACCATGCAAAACACTTCGGGCGAACCATGTCACAGCAGAGTGCCCCAAGCCCGCCTGCGCTGGGCTCCGAATCTGGGTACCAGGCATGTCGCGCGGCGCGCCCCGACCAGGACACCGAGGCGAAGATCGGGATTCTTCTGACCCGGGTCAATCCAGACCCGGGTCGATCAGGCCTTGCAGGATCCTGCAAGGTCCTGCACCCAAACCCGGGTCAGTGCGCAGGATCCTGCAGGATCCTGCAGGATCCTGCACCCGAACCAAGGTCAGTGCGACCCTGGCCCTGCAGGATCCTGCAAGATCGGTTGCTCTGGCTGACCCCCGTTTGCATTGACCCCCGTCTCAAGGTTCCCAAGAAGAGCGCCAGCGAAACGTCCAGAGGTCCGCGCGATCATCTTCTGGGTTGGTGCACGACCCCCTCCCCTCCCCCCTGGTGCGCGGAGCCAGCGGGGGGCGGCGCCGGAAGCGCCCAGAGGGGTGCGCCGACCCGAGGAAAAGCCACGCGGACTCCTCCTCCTCCTCCTCCTCCTCCTCCTCCTCGTCCTCCTCCTCCTCCTCATCCTCCTCCTCTTCTCCTCCTCTTCCTCGTCCTCCTCCTCCTCCTCCCCGAACGGTTGCGTTCGCGCAGCTGCTTCCCAAAGCGGGATAGGAGCCCTTCTCCTCCCGACGGCCCGCCTGTGCACTGGAAGCCGCGCCATGCTGCCCGGGCACCGAAAATCGAGCGGCGAGGGGCCCTGGGCAGGTCTGCAGCACGAGCCAGTAGGCTGCAGCGAAGCAGCAGTCGTCGTCGTCGTCGTCGTCGTCGTCGCCGTCGTCGTCGGCGGCGGCTGCGTCGTCGTCCTGCTCACTCCTGCGTTCTCTCCTCCTTCTCCCCCATCCCCCCCTCCTCCACCTCCATTCCTCCCTCTTCCTCCTTCCTCTCCTCCTCCTTCCCTCCCTCCTCCTCCTCCTCCTCCTCCTCCTCCTCCTCCTCCTCCTCCTCCTCTCCTCCTCCTCCTCCTCCTCCTCCTCCTCCTCCCCCTCCTTCTCCTCCTCATCCTCCTCCTCCTCCTCCCTCGTCCTCCTCCTCCTCCTCTTCCTCCGCTCCTCGGCCTGGTGCCTCCTTCTCCTCTCTTCTGTTTTCCTGCTCCAGCTCCTGCTCCTGCTCAAACTCCTGCTCCTCCTACTGCTCCTCCTCACTCCTCGTCCTCCTTCTCCTCCCCCCCCCGCGCGAGGGGGAAAACAAGCGGGGCGCCCTGAGAACGTGCAAAGCAAACCAGACGAAACGGAATGTGGGCGAGAGAGGGCGAGCGGCCGAGCGAGAGAGAGAGAGAGAGGTATAAGGAGGGAGGAGGAGGAGGAGGAGGAGGAGGAGGAGGAGGAGGAGAAGGACGAGGAGGATACGAGATTGGCTTGGAGCGGCCGCGCTGTCAGTCCGCGCGATGGCCGCCACCTCAAAGAGAAGGGCAGGCGCTCGCGCCGCCTCGCGCCCGCGAGGGGAGGTTGTCCCCACACCCGCAGGATCACGGGGGCAGCCACAGGTGGATATAAACGATGGAATGGTGGCCTCCAGCTGTAAGCACGTGAGCGCTCAGCCACCAGAGCATGGATTGTGAGCCAGGATCCTGGCCCACGACACCTCGGGGCCATTGACCTGGAACGGACGAGGCCCTTGGAAAATGCGGCCCCAAGGGCGCCCTTCGTCGGCAGGGTGCCGACCATCAAGAAAAAATGTTATGTTCCTGATGGTTCGCTCGGAACTCCTATCACAACCTGCGCGGTCGACAAGGAGGTGCCCCGAGGAGCCCGTGGAGAAACACAGGAAACGCAAAGAACGCACTGCCCCGCAGAGGCCCCAAGGCGATGGCCTCGGGAAGCCGCCGCTGGCACGATCCCCGTGGGGGGGGGCAGAGGTCGGCTGGGCGCCGTGTAGGCGCCTGTGCGGGGCCTCGGATTCCGAACGGCCTCCCTGCCCGACCTAACACGCTTTGGCGGCGCAGAAGCTGGGCCAGAACGCTCGGGGGCGGAAAAAGCTGCTACGGCAGCCTGCATATGTTCAGCCCCCGCCGTCCTGACTTGGACTATCGGCTCGAAGGACACACGCCGACGGGCTGACCGAACCCAAGGAGAGCCCTCGGAGTCAGAGGCGCCCGAGCCCAGGGGGCCCACGTCAAAGGGCCCAGAAGGGCCAGGGGGGCCAGGGCCAGGACGAACGGAGCGAGACGGCCCGACGAGAGGCGAGGCAGCACGAGGGCGCGCACCGGCGCCCATAGGGGTGCCATCAGGCCCCCCCGCCATCAACGCCCAACTTTGCCGACGCTCTACGACCACCCACTTCTCGCTCAGCATCTCCACTGCCGAACGACGGCAGCGCATCAGCATCGGAGGAGGGAGGGCCCCAGTGAAGCGAGCCAGGGTGCGGCGAGGCCGCGAGAGATCGGCCGCCCCCAGAGTCCAACCACGGAGCCAGATGAACACCGCCATGGGCGCTGTGGGCAAGCAGGCAGGCAGGGCAGGTGAGAAACGAGAGACGATCACGAGTCTTATCAGCCCGAGAGCCTCTCTTACAAAAATTGCATCGCCACATAGACTGGCCTGGGACCGCACTAAATACATGCCTCAGCTCCTGAGAGCCCTGGGTCTCTTCAGGTCCGAGAGAGAGGGGCGCGCGCAGCCTGCGCGCCGTGGCCCTGGGCCGAGCGACAACCCTATACCCCTGATAGAACAAAGCAAAAGCGTGGACCGCCCACCTCAAGGTGGTCTGAAAACTACGAAGCCCGATCCCCATGGCGTCTTTGAGCGGCTTTGGGGCACTATGCACATCGCGACCGCTACCGGCCCCCAAGTCAGCGAATCGGTTGTCTATGGCACCGATGGGCATTGCCACGCTGATGGGCCTTGACTAGCTGCGCGGAGATGCCTGCAACCATGCCTCCATGGTCTGCACTCTTGGACCACGAGGTCACGCAGGTCAGCCTTTAACCGGCGGGGCCGAGCTCTGGGCCATCAACTAAGCCCTTGAAGTCCGCGCACACAGTCAGCGGGGGGACCCCGACCAAGAGTACCTGTAGAACAGCGCGCAGCTCCACCCTAGGAGAGGTCTGCAAGGGCCAATGGAGCGCCCATTGCACTAGGATAGCTGCTCCTTGCCCACAGGCTCGCGAAGATGTGCAAGCCCCCATCCAGCCCTTGAGCACGCATGCCAATACCAAAACTTGTGACGCGCGCCATCCGTGCACACACTTCCCGAAATTCCATGTGGACTCCCATGCTGCACGCACCGCCTGCCCGGGTCGTCTCGAGGAGATAGCCCAGGGAAGCACGAACGACACACAAGACAACGCGTCCATAGCAAGTTGTCTCAACAACATGGCGGGAAGCCCCTCGTATCAACTGAATGCATGTGGCGCTGGCGGTCTTCCACCAGATGTGGGCAACTCCACATGGTGCGAAAGGCGTCACAAACTGCTTGGAGACATCGCGGACACTGATCAGCGCCCCTGTGCCCGCACTGAGCAAGGCGACGCGGTGTCCACAATCCCCCCCGCCACTATTGCACGCATCATCCCGGCCTCCCGATAGTCAGGCACCCACCTACTCCGATGTCCTTCTTGCTGTCCTTCAGCAACGACGGGGTCTGCTCCGGAATCTGTTCCGGGGTAATCATCTGGAG